ATAAATTTTCTAAAGCTTGAACCTTCGACTGAACTCTTAACCCCAAAACCCGCGGAAACCCAGCCCAGAAGCCTAAACCCACTAATCTTGAAGTTCTGAGAGGGGTGGGGGGGGGGAGGAGGGGAGTGGAGGGGGGAGGAGGGGGGAGGACGGGGGGGGGGGTGGGGGTGGTGAGGGGCTGGGTGGGTTTCCGGATGTTTAAAATGCTGGGCGGCCTGACGCCGCGATCTACGGAGGTAGTATGAAAACCTGCTTGTCTGTTTACATGTCCGGGTGTTTAAAAACCGGCACCGTGCTGCTACTACTACTACTACTACTACTACTACTACTACTACTACTACTACTACTACTACTACTACTACTACTACTACTACTACTACTACTACTACTCCTGCTGCTGCTGCTGCTGCTGCTACTGCTGCTGCTGCTCTCCTACTCCTACGCCACTCCTACTCCTACTATCGCTAGATGTTTGTTTTTCTTCATGATGGTGGTCCATTTGTTTGTTTGTCTGTTTTCTTTAGCAGGAGAGAAACTGAAAACGATGTGGCCCAAGGCCGCAGGATGCCAGAGGTGCCACAGCAGCATAGCCACAAAAACAAAGAAGAGCAACAACATTTCGCATGCCCAACGTGTCGGGGCCGCCGGAAGGCCCACTGCAGTCCCCCTTCCCTCCCCGGCTTGAGGGGGGTTTCATTGGCTGTCTTAGGATACCATGAAGAGAGCGACTCTGTGCTTGTGATGGACGTCGCCCGATTCAAGCACCTGGGCCGTGACGTGTCGTCACATCGCTGTGTGTTCTGTTTCGCCGCGAGAGTCTCCAGCTGCAACGGGTTGTGAGGTATCCTCCCCATTGGGTGCCGCTGGAGGACTTGGCAGAAAGCATGCGGCAGGCGAGGGATTCTGATGGAAAAGTGCCGCAGAAACCTTCATCGCGGCCATGGCTGACAACCATTGCGTATGCATAACGAGCAGTTTTCCGGATTTCCGGAGGCAGCTGACTCATGAAAAGGTCGATTCCGACACAAGCAAGCCCCGCGGTTTCCTCCAGCTTCGGCTGCCTCAGCTGCTTGGCTGCAGTGACACCTGCGACACCCACACCACATCGCACAACATTGTGAACCACGGTTCGTGTTGGTGGTTCGCTAGGCGGGTTCGTGCAGCCGGTGGCGCTGCGCCGCCACTGCGAGTCCCCTTTGCACCTCTGGCCAGGGGAGTGTTGATGAAACTCCATGGGTCAATCGATCACATATCAAAGGTCACAAAAGCTAGCGGAGCGAGGCTTGAGATATTTGAGATTGTTTTAGTAGATAGGGGCGGAAACGATCCGGAAAGCTGCGATCTCTTGGAAGAGCGTGTGGAACATTGAATGGTTCACGGGCAGCTTCTTCTGGGGGGGGGGCGGGGGCGGGGGGCATCTGGGGCATTTCAGAGTCGCTCAGAATCTTAGGTGCCTCTCGCAGCAGGCCGCCTTCTCTCCGAGGCAAGCTCAAGTCTGTGCCACTTCTGTAAGAGTTCGAGCCGTTAGCTTCAGTCTGCTGTGGACCCAAAGCTTGCCTGGCAGTTGTGCCAGGGCTTCGCCAGCAAACTTGCGGATTTGGACCTGGAGGTCTGTCGGGTTCAGCTCGGGCTCATCGAGCTGCAGGTATAGGTACATCACCGTGCCCTCAAGTCCCGACAACTCCACCAAAGTACGGAGGCATGTGTGTGGACCTTTTACGTTTTACGCATCGCCCTAGCAATAGTGGAGGTAGCGGATAGCATGGCGGATGCTTGTGAGGCCTCAAGCTGCCCGGTGCCAACAGCAGACAATGCCTACACCGCCTGCGCCTTTGCAGATGTCTCCGCCGAATTTGCATCACGTGCTTCGTGGATTCAGTGTAACTTGTTCTGACACTGGGACCCCGTGATCCTTCCCGTTTTTCTGTTTGTTGCCTGCCTTGCTTCTTCCGTCCGTTCCTGTTTTCCTGCGTCTTCCGTCCTTTGATTCACAAGCCCACAACCGAGAACCAGCAGCACAAACAGGCTGGAGAAGCGGACGCAAACAGTCGTATAGTCAATGGAATAGTAGAGCAAGCAGGAAACGGACAACGCGAGAAAGTGATGAGCCCCAAAGGCCAAAAGAACCCGAGAAGCAGAGATGCAAAGACGGAAAACACATAAATTATCAGATCATTTGTGATGCTCGTTGTGCGTCTGGCTGTCGCATAGGCCCGAGACAGGTTTGCCAGTGAAGCAACCAAAGACACTGCCAGGAGCAAATCTGTGACCTTGTGTGGCCTTCTGCTTCTGCCTTCACGCGCTGAGGTTTCAATGAGGAGGTTCCTCACCACAGTAGCGACCGTGGAGCCCCAGGTCTGCCTGTCACTGCTAGTCACTGCCATCGTCCATGCGCTGACTTGGCAGGTCTTTGGACAGCTCCTGCAGGTGGGTGATGTTTCAGCAGTGACAGAGGTGGGGCATTCTACGCCAGATTTCCACAGAGAGAAGTGGGGTTGACAAAGGGTGGGCTATGCCCCCCCAATGAGCCAGTGATCGAAGCTGTCAGGTCTTCAACCGATTGGCCTCGTACCAGCCCTTTCAGGAGCTCTGTGAGGCCTCAAACAGTGCTGAAGTGAATCGGAACCGGGTCGTGTTGAGCAAGCTAGTGACCACCTTTCTTGTTTCAGATGCTGTCAGGCGTATGATGTGGCGACGCGCGATTACTGCCGAGAAGTCGGTGCCAATTTTCCTCCGCTGCGCTACATCAAGGCGGGAATGGTTCCCTTTTTTCCTCCATCTAGCCTGCCATGCCCACCCATGCCCACCCATGCCAATGCCGCCCCTTGCCAGTGGCAGGTGAACCGAAGCCGGGGTCGAAATGGCACATCTCCACACCTGGCTCCTCGGCAAGTAGCAGCGAAAAGGTGTTTGCTATCTGTGCTCTAACCTCGACTCCTCCTTCGTAGTTGCCCAGCTCAGATCTATATAAAGGCGAAATTTGTAGAGAAGGGATGTGATCTGTACTGCCTCGTTTTGATGCGCTTGGGGCTCAGATTCGGTTTCTCGGTTCACGTACGCTGTTTTGCTTTTCGTAGCGCAGGGGCTGTGCGCTGGCTGGAAAGACTTGGGGCCCCCTAATTGCAAGCCTCAGCGATGCCAAGGAAGGCGGCGAGGAGCTGACACCTTGGTCCTGTGGCGAGCTTTGGGTGCTGCCTTTCGGCTGCTTTCGGCTGCTTTCGGCTGTGGCTGGGTGATGCTGTGATGTGTGCATGTGCTTGCTTGTTTTTTTTTTGTTTTTTCAGTTTTGCTTGTGTTTTTGTTTTGTTTTCTTTTCTTTTGTTGTGTGTTGTTTCATTTCTTTGTTTGTGTCAAGCACGGCGGATCACCAGACAGCCTGTAACACAATCAGCTTGCGGTTCAGCTGCTCGCAGGCCCAGCTTCATGCAAAAACTGCTGAATCTAGGGCCCGCCAGGTGATGATGTTTAATGACTCAGTACTCAGTCTCTAAGGCTTTTGCTGCTTCTTCCCAAGCACATGCAGGCGCATCTGTGCTGCTGCGACGGTACATGACATCACTTCGCGGGCACTTGCTGCCTTTGACTGCAGCCCGCTGTAGATTCCGCGCGTGTGGTATCAGACCTGCGTGGCCGCCGAGCAGCAATTCGTGATGTCAGGTCGCAGTCTCACCCGACATTGTGGAACAAGGTTTTGCCCAGGCGGCCAGCCTGCCAATGTTGAACATGGAAGCCTCAATCACGAAAGCTGTCGGAGCTAGGCTCGTCTAAACAGTTTAGTCTTGCTTTAATTTAGCAGGTATGGTCGGACAAGGTCCGGAAAGCTGCGAGCTACTGCATTGATTCTGTCATAGGATGAGGGGGGTTGGAGGCGGCTTTTTTTCAACGGTTCACAGGAATCTAAGAGTCTCCTTGTTTTTTCGCGGGGTCAATCTTGATCGTTTCCAGAGAGCCGGTCCTTTTCTGCGTGGGCTCAATAGTGAACAAACCACTATGGGTTCCAACCGCAAAGAGGCAAGAACAATATAGAACAATAGCATCAGCGCGTGCACGTGTTCAGGGTTAGGGTATTTGAGCGTTTGGGGTATTGAGGGTTTTAGGGTCATCAGGGTTTAGGGGGCCTCCCCTCGGATTTGGGCAAGCTTTTGTTGGCCTCGGCTTGCCCCTCGAGGATCAACTCAAGAACATGACATGTCAATTAATGTGAATGTCTGGTTGCGCCGCTGTTATGGTGCTTGTGCAGGGCTTGACGCGGGCCGTGCGTGGACCGTGGGCTTTGCCGCTTGAAGCGCTTCGACACTTTGATGCAAGAATATTCTGATGGTTGCAGTCCTGGTTCTGACCCAGGCAACATGGCCGGATAGGAGGTCGGCCTCATTTACATCATAGACATGTTTTTTTTTGCGGCTGAGGCGAGACCTTGAGCCACATACTGCCACAAGCAAAGCAGAGACACTGTGTCAAAAAATTCGACCGGGCGGTTATGGCGTGAGACAGAGATGGAAGCCAGCTTGTTGAAAAAGACGGCATGGCATAGCTGGCATGAGCGCCAGCTGTCTCACCTCGCTTCAAAGTTTTAAGTTGGTTTTCTTGCTGCGGATTGGCCGGCCCGGCATATGGCTCATGGCTTGACACGCGCCGTTGCAACAAGGCAAGCGAGCATTGAATGCAGTATTCTGGCTGCCTCGAGCGTGCCGATGGCTTGACATGAATGTAGCTCTCTGCGGATGCAGACTGAGTGCTGCCTTAGGGGGGCACGATGCGAGCCAATTCAGGAGATTGCAGCTGTTGCTGTCCCAAAATCCATGCTAATTCGTTCCCCCATGAGCCACTCATCTGGTTGCAGGCAGATCCCGCAAAGGGAGACAGTCGGACACGCATGATCATGCAAAAGATGTGTTGCTTGCGTCGCACGTGAGCTAGCAGCTGTTAGCACAGCCATTTTCCACTGCATGCATGCTGTAGGCCTCTTGATGTTTCTTCTGTTGCTGGTGCATGGCAAGGTATCCAAGGTGGGTGACCACGTATTCCAGAAACTGGGCTTGACACTCAATGCAAAAGGCATGGCTGCAGACATTGGACAATGCAACATGCCACACGGGAAGGGTATAGTGGCCGAGCGCAAGTGACGTTCGAGAGGGAGGGGGGTTGGGAATTCCGTATTTTGAGGCTTTCCAAGGCTGGAAAAACTTGCAGCCGGCACCTAGCCCGTAAGCCCACGTAAGTCCGCGCAAGCCCGCGTCAGGAAACATGCCTAACACGGTGCGCACGTAACTGGCACGTAACACAAAAGTTTCACGCAGAAATTCGACGATGGGTTTTGAATGCCGCCCAGCAGCGAATTGGCAAAGCTTTGAGTGGGGAGTAGGACTTTCCCGTCACCTGGACCCAGCCCAACCACACTTATGTGAGCTGGCCACATCAGAAAATATAGGTGCCGAAGAAACAAATCATATCGAGCTTTGCTGGTTGCGTTGGCTGAATGTGATTCGTACCCAAGTTGGTTCTTCTCCACCAGCCTTTGAAAACTTTGGGAGGCATCCTCGGTAACACAGCAAAAAGTTCGGTGACACCCAAAAGATGGTACCAGAGTATATCCGGATGATTCACATCCTGGCTTAGTGAGACTTGTGGATCTGCTCTTCCCAGGCATCTTGGAGTTTGAAGGAGCCGATGAGGAGAAGGTGTTGGAGGCACAGCAGCCTGATACCCACATTGACCATGTTCAACCTTAGATCGCCGACCGGAACTACGAGAGTTGAAGAGTTTATCAGATGTGGTTCTTGTCCGAGTGGTAGGTCTCCATGGAGGCCGACGCCGAGGTGGAGGCACCAGCGGATTCGTGCAGCACGAGATCCGGTCATCTCTGCCGGCTCCTGCGTGCATGTCAGAAGTTACTACATCTCACCATTACAATCATAGTCACCACGGCATCAAGATTTCATGAGTATCGCCCTGGCACCAGGACATCGTGACCAGGGAAGATGGAACTGTTGAGGCACTGGCCCGCATTGCCAGAGTTTATGCAAGTACAGGACCACTAGAATTGACAATTCACACACGGTGGAACGAGTACTTCGGAAGAAGCACTAAATCTTGACGCAAAGTTTGGCACATGACCACAGCCCTGGCAAGCCCAAGCATGGCTTTATACTGACTTCTTTCCTAGCTTGCGCCGCACAGCCGTCTGTCGGTTCACAGTCTGCAGTCTGTAGTGCAGGGATCATAAAGCAGCATATTCCACAACGCCAATCAGTTCTAAACACCCTGCACTCTATGCTGGCGGCATCAACACATTATCTGCATCGCACAGAAAGGATTACAACAATTGGTTCGGAGCAGATGGACGAAGCGCTACCGCCAGAGTTGTTGTGCGTGTTGGATCCAGAGGCTGGCTAGCCCATGCCTATGCGGCCCCCTTAGTATTCATTCTCCAAAGCTCTCTCCGCGTTGCACAGGTGTGTGGGGGGTAGAGCACAATGAAATTGTGCGCACAATGAATCAGTGTGCACGTTGACTAGCACTACAATCCTCGCTTCACACTGATTATCACTACTGTGGTGCATGCCCAATCTAAATAGCACATGTGTTGTGAGGACCTGAGGCCAATGTTGGTTGTTGGAGTCGTTATTAATCTTGTCGGCATGCGGGCTTAGCCTGTCGCTAGTTTCCACGTATGCGTGAGTGTGTGAGAGAGAGAGTGTGAGTGTGTGCAGTGTGTGTGTGTGTGTGTGTCTCTCTCTCTCTCTCTCTCTTTCTGTTCGTTTGTCGGAAATGGAATGCCCTGTCAACATCAGCGATTGCCATTGTCAGGCTTGCTGTGGGGCCTGCTTGTTGCAGTTGAACGATCCTGCGGTCGACATCGCGGCTGAGGCAAGCTGAGGGCAGATTCCATGCATCGGCTCTGTCTGCCCATACTTGGAGACCTTTCGTTTCGCAAGGTTTCTGTGGCAAGCCGCAGTTCAGAGCGCTTGCGGCTGCGAGCCAAGGCGGCAGCGGCCCTCGAGGGTCCGCCTCCGTGGGATGGGATGATATTCACTTCACTACCTTGTGCTCAGCTTGTGCTGAAGTCTCTTGCAGTGGCTGTTGCTGAGGGTATGGCGCTGCTAGCACTAGTTGTAGTCGCGCATATCTTTGCATGCATGCGGGAGGCTGCTTGCACCTCTTCCACCTTCGATGCATTCAAGTTTGGGCTGGAGTGGAGAACTCCTGCCCACAATGCCGCATGCGATTCCGCCGGTTCGGCGAATATAGCCTCGTGTCTGGAGAGCGCAGGCCCTGCAGAAATCCGCATGCAGTGTTTTCACTCTAGCTGACGTGCGGAGCTGCCCTGGACAGGAAAGTTTGCGAAGTGGAACAGCGCGATCAGGCTTCAGAATCCTAGTCTTGTCATGTCTTGTCGGTGTCTGCTGTCTCCAGCCTGTCTATAAGTAAGCTTTCAGCCCAGTCCATGACAAAGCTGTGAGATGGGTCGCAGGTCGGCGACTCCAGCGGCGAATCTGAGATCACATGTGACGTTTGCGGAGGGGCTGGTGAAGCAGAGCTTCTGCTGCTCTGCGACGGGCGACGGGGCCGATGTCCTGGCGCCTGCCATACTTTTTGCGATGGCTTGGGCCGGACAGTCCCCAGCGGACATTGGTTCTGCCCGACATGCCGCGGTCGCCAGAACACTCGCATTCCACGCCCAGTCCCTAAGGCAAAGCAGCGCCCGGCGCAAGCCAAGGGTCGTGGCAGGTCGAGGCAATCTCGGCAAGCTGAGGCATTGCTAAGTGCGCAGGTCCAGCAGGTCATGTCGCTTTCTACTGAAACTGTAGACTCCGGCGGCGTTGACCGCAGCGTGCTTGCCCCTGCGCCCACGGTGGAGGCGTCACGAGGCCCCGCAAGCTTGGTTCATGCTCCACAACAGGGCGCGCAAACGTCCCTGCAGACAGACGTGCAGCGAGATCCCGAATCCACACTGCCGGCAAAGCAAGAAATTGAGGAAGTTGAGGCCGGCTGCCTGGAAGTGTCACATTTGATATGTCTTGAAATGACAACTGGCAATGCTGTCGTGTTTTCTTTGTCCTGTGCGATGCACCTGTGAAGGCCCCGGCCCCGGCTCATGCGACGGCAGCTGAGCCAGTTCTGCCAGCACGTCTTGCTGCAGCAGACGGGCTGCAGAATGTGGCCACGGAGTCTGATCTCGGCGGGTTTATCTCCACTGATGATGTGGCCGAGATGCCGAGTCACTCGCTGAAACCTCACGCTTTCTCCAAGCTGAACCCCCAGCAGATGTCCATCGATTTGGACAGTGCCGATGAGGCCCCTGAAGTGCCACAGCCAGCACCCCGCCGTGACTTTGCCAGACATGGTGCAAAGCGTAGTAGTCTTGCGTGGTTCTGGCAGCAGGACATGCCCAATAATTGAATTCCAGCATGCTAGCAGTGCTGCCACGCACATATCTGGAGAGATTTCTGCTCAGGTTACAGCATCTTGCAGTTGCCTCCGCAATTTGAAGCGTGCGCAGAACAGCTGCGCAAATTTGCCGCTTGGTGCTTTTGGGCAGCTGTTCTTTGTCCCGCAAAGTAGTCTCAAGAAATGCGCAGCATGTCAGCGAAGGCTTCTACGTATTTTCTTTGTGAGCGGAGCATGCCCCTTGCAGCACGCACCGCAGAACGCATGTGGCAACTGTCGCAGGCTTGGTCTTCGATTTCGTGGGAGGGGAGGGCGGGGGGGGGGGGGGGTTGTCCGAACCAAGATCAGGTTCACAGGAGAGCTTTCAGGAATATGTGCCAAGATGTGAGACACTGGTGTGAAGGTGGGCCCTTGCCCGAGCGCTCTTGCAGATGACACGGAGACCCGCTATCGTCAGCTGCTCCATGTTGCCAGGGACAGCAACTAGGCTTGGCATGGCTTGTCTCAACATGGCTTCACAAAATTGGGGGAGCTATCAGACTTGCGCAGTAGGTTCATGGGCTTTCATGGGGCTTCATCGCTTGCATCCTCCTATCTTGCTACCTCTGGCAGGTTGTTGCAGGCTTGTGCGAGTTTGTGCCCAAAGGTTGGTTTGTGCTGCGGTTGCTTCGGGGCTCGGCACTCTTTGCTAGGATGGGGCGGGCCTGTAAGCCAGGAAGGCTTCAAAGCTGAGGCTTCGAACTCTTCTGGCAAACTCCTTTGGACCCGGCCGACGACGACCCATGTGGGCTGCGCTGCCTGCGAAAGAAGGACACAAAGGTATAAAAAAAACAACAAACGAAAAAGCTCACCTCAGAACTGCCCCATTCAGCCACTGTCACTCAGTAGTGGTTACGGGACCATTCATGTAGCAGCGCAGGAGCAATCTCTCTTATGTGTGCGATACAAAGGCGCCGAGGCTTCAAGAAATCTGGACAATGTTTGCGAAGGAACTGCCGCGTCTCAGGATGTTGCATGAGGTTTCAGGCGCCGTGCTGCTTCATAAAAGGGGAAGATTGTAAAGCTCTTCCAGCTCTCGAAAAACGTGCATGAAGACGGTGCTCACAATCAGTTGTCCGAGGCAGGCGGGGCAAGCGAGGCCGCATTCGCCCCTCTGACATTGTCCGCTGCGAGCTCCAGTGCCGCCGGAGGTTTTGTGTCAAATGATGGAAATGGAAAGGTCTTTGAGTTCTGGGTAGGCTTTTCGTGCAATTCCGGCTCGTGGGATGGGATTGACAGCAGCCGGAAAACCTGCGATCTCGATGATGTCGCAGGCTTCTGGAGTTTGTGGAAGGCAGTCGACCTGGATCAAAGCTGCCTCGTTGCGATTTGCCTCCACGCGAGGCAGTTCCTTAGATGCCATTGAGTCCAAGGAACAGACTTCTAAAGACCAAGACTGAGAAAGAGCGGCCTGCGGCCATGGCCACCGCTTGCAAGTTGACCCTAAGAGTGCGCATGTTGTCGTTGCAATGTGAAAGCTTCTAAAGTTGCCGAGCGTATGGTGCGCTGCCTGAGTTCGAAGTCCGGCTTGGTGTGTTTGATTTCCGACATGCCGGAGCATCCAAGGAGGTCCAAAGTGCATCCAGAGCACCGCAGCTACAAGGTTGGCATTGAGCTGAAGCAAATCGTGTGTCAAACCACGTGCTGAATGCTCAAGCCAGGCGGCGGCATTCCTCCTGCGCGTGCGGCTGTTGCTGTGGAAAGACTTCCAGGTTCTGAGGATTCTGCGGAGACTCCAGTGGACGGGACTCCTATGAACGGTATGAACTTGCTGGAGGCATTGAAGACGGAGCCTTGGTACGTGGGCCAAGCTGTGCATGTGGCCCAAGTGGGATCCCGCACTGCAGGGTATGCTTCCCCAAGTGCCGAGCTCCATCCTTTGTTGAAGGAGGTGCTGGTCGAAATTGTGCAGGGTGATGCAGCTGGTGCCTTGCAGCTTTACAACCACCAGGCCGAGGCAATCGATGCCGTCCTGGTGCAGAAAACCGACATCGTTGTCAGCACATCTACTGGAAGTGGAAAGTCCCTGGTCTACTTGGTGGCGATCTTTGATGCATTGTTGAGAGACGAGAATGCCACAGCCTTCTTGATCTTCCCGACCAAAGCTTTGGCACAGGCCTTTTTCAAGCCTGACTGTAATCCGTTTCATTCAGTTTCCCTGGAAATCTGAACATCTTCAGAGACTCTTACTGACAAGTGCCCCGAAAGGACCAGCTTCGCTCCCTGAGCCGCGTGGCACAAGGACTCACCCAGCGCGGCGTGGCGGCGGAGAGGCCCTCGCACGGGGAAAACTCAGGATGAGTTGTTCAGGCTCTGCTCTTTTCAAGTGCAGGCTCACCATAGCCTGCCTGGATGGTGACACGCCGAGTGCTGAAAGAAGCCGCGTTCGACGTCACCTTGGTTGCACTTGCGTGTTCAACCGCTTCAGGGATGTTTAGATATATGTTTACTAGATTTGATTTTCTTCTCGTGTGCAGGGATGGTTTGGGCATGTTTTGGCAATTCTTGCGGGAGGGCGCATTTTGTCTACTCACTTTTTTCTGTTTTGCTTCATTTGTTTTTTTTTTTTTGGGGGGGGGGGGGTGCCCAGTCGCGTGTCTCCGAGTCTCGTGGTCTATTGGTTCCCTGGTCCTGCGGTCCCGTATTCCTTCTTCCAAAGTCGTTATATGAGCATTGCTTTTTGCATGCGCGCCAACTTTCTTCAAAGCGCGTGTCCCCCTCTCCCCCAATCCCACTCTTTTTGTGATTAAAGCAGTGCACACTCGCGAAAGGGCGTGGGGAGGGGACGGGGCGGGGCAGGACGGGAGGAGAGGGAGTGGCTGCAAACAAATGGCTCGAATGCCAGATTTTGCAAAAACGAGCCACATGCTTATTGAAGTAACCTATACACCCTTAACCTTAAACTTAACCTCTATACTGGAAACGCTGATTAAGAATCGTTTTGGAATTTTAGTGATTGACAAGACGCTTTGCACTTCTGTGGGTTTTGACACCTTCAATTGTTCCATCGGAGCGTGTTTTTTGAGGAAAAACCTCGCACGTCTTTGTTAAAACGAAGCCACCCCATTGTTGTGCACGATGCTCTTATACATCTGGTTCCGTCCGGCATGGTTTCCAGACACACACACACACACACAATGCTCGCATGGGTTTGGAAGGGGGCGCACCATTTGCAACCACCTTGTTCGCATGGGCTTGCAAAGCTTTCCAGCTGGGTTTTAAAAAAAGCCCCCAAAACCAGCAAAGAAGGAGCAAACAGCACTCCTCCAGACTCTAGCTCCTTCTGCTTTCTTCCACGCTCCGAGGCGAGGCCCGAGTCGTGCTGACAAATCCGGCCGCTTGCATGCGCTTACGGTTGACACGACTGTGTTGACACTGTGTAGGTGGGAAGCGTGCAATTTGTGCAGCAGTAGGCGGGTTGCCGGCACATCCTGTGAGGCTGGTCTCAATGTGGCAGCTCCGTAGGACGTTCAAGAAGCGGGATGTTTGGATGTTGGGGGTGTGCGCGGAGAAAGGCAGCCAACAAAACCACCATCAAGTTACCTGTACCACCATCGGCAGGTTTGGCGAAAGCCTTGAAAACCTGATTCCGGGCGTTACCTTCAAGTTCTGCAGTAGGGCTAAGCTTCTTATCCAGCAGTAGTACAACCTGCTTTGGACTTTGTGCGCAGCCACAGCTTTCCAAGGACATGCTGCATAGCCATGTTCTGCCGCAACACGTGGAGTACGCGCGCTTGCTACAGAATGCGCGCTACATCGTCCTCGATGAGGATTGCAGGGGCATGGAAAAGAGCTTCTCGAGCTGCCAAACACCCACTGACTTCACTCAGTTCCATTCACAGGTTCACATCTACCGTGGAGCTTTTGGTGCTCACGTTTGCAACATCATCCGCAGGCCTTTGCTTGTGGTGCCCTCATGCATCCTTTTGTGCCCTCTCGAATTTGATGGGTTTGAGATGGGCGGAGTACATTTGAATGTGGTCAGGTTCCGTCGCCTCGTTGACGAGGCCTCGCTGCGCTTTGTGGCCTGCTCCGCCACAGTTGCGAATCCGGGAGAGTGCCCCGGCTACAGATGAGCGGCCAACCCTTTGCGAGTGGGTTAAGGTTTTAGGGTTTGGTGTTTAAGGTTTAGTTTAGGGTGCAGGGCTTAAGTTTAAGCCTAAACCCTAAAGCCTAAACCCTAAACCAGTGGAGCACTTCTTTCCTCAGACCATGCAGGCATGCCGAGCGACTTTTTGGGCCGGGGCGCGGCGACATCACCGTCGTTGCGCGGGATGCATCGCCAAGCGGGGGCCATGCTGCTTGTCATCGTACTGATCATAACCGATTCTTCAGCAAGGGTTACATCCAAGAAAAGAGTAAATTGCGGCGCAATTTTCTCAGACTTAAGCAGCGTTCTGGGGAGTTTGTCCTGATTCTGAACTTGATTGCAAGAACGCGTGCTGGGCTGAAAAGTATGCCATGCGGGAGGCTCAATAAATAAAAAGTTGAGGTGTACGTGCTGTGGAACCCTGCGTCCTTGGTCAAAGGCATCGTGGTGACATTTTGCGGTTTTTTCGTCAGCTTGACTTGCTGAACATGTACCGTGCATGAGTAGGCTTGGCTTAGGGCCTCCCTCCAACTTCAGGATCTGCGACAGCAGGGCAGCAGGATGCAACTTTCCAGCAGGATGCTTCGTGTGCTGGTACTATCTGGTACTCTAAGTTGCTGTTTCCATGTCAATGTGCAGCGTACAATTCTTTGACAGCTCTGGGCAGAAGGAGCAGAAGGAGCCTGGCGCATCTCCGGCAGCCAAGCGGATGCGCACGGAGGCCACGACAAAGGATGCCAAGAGAAAGGTCAGAGGTGAACACCTTCAGCATTTTTTCCATACCCTTCGATGCTGTTTTGACCAGGTTCCAGCTTCCCCGACGCCAGTGGACCTCGGAGATGGCGAGGAGCTGCAGCTGCATGCGGCTGCTTTTTCATCTTTTTCCGGATGACTGAGCTTGCTGATGCTTGATGATGCTTGATGCGGCGGATGGGGTACATCTCTGTAAGCCGACGCATCTCAAAGCAATAGTCAATGCAAGTCGATGCATAGGCAAGACAGGAAAAACCATAACATCGATTAAGTCGCGAACCAGTGGCAGAAGATATTCGCTTCAACTACTGGATACTCCCTGGATACTCCGCACGCCAACCACACCAACTCCGACCTGCAGCGCGTAAATGAGCAACCCATCACGACATGTCACGACGTAGCTGACACGGACAGCGGTGGCTCGTCATGCGAGCGTTTGAGGCACAAGCCCAGACCGACAAGGACGAGATTCGCTACTGTAGCAGTGGAGTATAGTGGAGTGCTGATGTCGCACCTGGGTTTAATTTGAGGCTGCCCCCACACCCCCGCATATTTAATTCATTCTTAAACCCGCGCAAGCTAGTCTGTAAAAGAAAGCAGAAGGGGGAATTGTGGGTTGAGAAACGTCCAAACGCGTCATGCGAGCATGCTTTTTGCAAATGCGGGGTGGGGGGTGGGGGCTTTCCCCAAACCCCCTGTTATCATTGCTTTTGTTCGGCCGTGCAAGCTCACGTTGGAAAGAAAATCATGCCATGCAAAAGGGCTTACGATAAAGCCCGTACGAATCCTTTCTAATAGGTTGCCTATTCAAATGTCATAGAGGTTCTTCCTGAAGGAGAACAAGCAGAGAGTCATCAATTAAGATGCAGCGGAAATATGGAGGGCTTCATCGTAAGTTGAAACGCTGCAGAGGTGATGGAGGTAACAGATGTTTCCGATTAACAAATTCGAAGAGATTTCTTTGGCAAATGGAGGGCATAGAGGTTAGTTATCCTAGTAGAAGAACCCTGGACCAAAAAAGGATGAAACCGCCAAAGACCGTGCTAATTTCTCGCGAACTACAAAAACTCATCCTACCCCACCGCGACGGACCTTGCAGTGCAGGTGTGCAAGCAGGAAACTTTCTTTGGGCAACGGAGCGCTGCGACGTGATCAAGGCATGATGAGAAATCCCCACGTGCTCTGAAGAAGGGGTGGTCAATCAAGCCGAAGGCTTCTGGAAAAGGCGAAACTGGGGAGCAGAGCGAGAGGAGCCTCCTGCCAAGAGCGCAGGCACCTCTGCCACGCCAGGGTGGAAAGTAGGGTCAAATCCCGGCAAACAGCCATGCAAGATCCTGTTTAGGCTGAACTTGGCTGAACCCACGTTACCTACAACGTCGTGGTGACTGGCAGATACTCGTAACTTTTTTCTCATTGGGACGGAGAAGTGGCCTACTTTGTGCGAGCCAAACGAAATTTGCAGGATTCACGGGCCCATGCTGATTCTAGTCGAGATCAGAACCGGCATCGTCGTCTGGATTAGTATAGTGCTCAACTTGTCAAACTGAGCGCTTGCCCACTCGAGAAGAAACATACTGAAACACACCAACAAAGGCGAAGTTGTGTAGCAAGCATTCTAAGTTGGCAGCGGCGGTTCAATAGCATTTGCCATTAGCCCCTTTGTCCAGTTTCAATCGCGCAGCAGAGGAGGCGGTTGTGTTGGGTGGCTACAACCAAAGCGGCGCATCACCCATTGTGGAAGTGACGCGCTTGCTTGCATGGCTGGTTTCACGTCCCCCGCCTGCGGTTCGTTGTTTGCAGACGAGTGGCTTTTCTATTGATGCTGCGCATGCGCGAGTACATCATAACTACTAGACATGAGCCAAGGCAATGTTTCGGTTTTGGCATTCTGCAAATGGAGGAGCCGCAGTCACTGTCTTGGTACAGGCTCTCTTTCTTCCTCGGAAGCGTATGGAAGGGTCACACAATAAGAATAATAATCTTAAAGATGTTTCTAATACTAATCATAATAATCATAATAATAATAATATACAATAATAAAAACAAAAAAAGATGAGGAGCCTTGTGGAGATCATTGTCCAGGATGTCAAAGAGGCCTTGAATGCCAGCGAAGTGGCCCGACCAAAAGCATTGATCATCTTATGAGAGATGCAGCTGTGCACCGGCGCACCGGCGAATCGCTAGAGGCCCTGCGTAAGAGGCGTATCGTTCGGGAACATTGTTTTACAGGTAAGGTGTATGGTCAACAGCATCGCCCCCCCCTGGGCCTAATTTACCTATGGGAGGGGGTGTCCCCCCCCCGGAGAAGGTTTTGTAAATAATTCCTGTCGGGGCAGGGTTTTGACAATAATTCCACAGTGGGAGGGTGGAACCACCTGAAACCCTCCTCCCGGTAAATTTCCAGGAGTGTGTATAATCAATGTGAAATCATTCCATTGTGGGAGGGTTCGGCGACAAATTCCGGGTTGGTTCAAAGCTGGCCAGCCATCATGGAGCGCCCTCTTGCTTTCCGAGCTCACGGCTGACCACGCAACCGGCTCTGGCTGTGCACATCTCGGGCCCATCGTTGTCGTTCCTGCCTGTGTGTAGTTCTGCAAGCCGGCGAGCTCCAGGATACACGCAATGTGCGCGCGGGTGTGTGTGTGTGGGAAGTGGCACACCATCGCTGGCGGCGCGCAGGTTTGTTTTCCTCGGCTTCACTACCTGGACCCTCTGTGAAGGCGAAAAAACGGCCACAAGCCATATTTGCACCAAAAACAGCCAAGACTCTCAAAACCAAGCAAAACAGCCATGACAAACAAAATCATCCATTTTCCTGTTGAGGGCAAGTGCGCCCATCACAATGCTTCAGGGATCCTGCGTAGTGAATGTCGACCAGAGGTTTGCTTCTGATGCCATGACAGCGTGAAGCTACAGGTCAGGGTTCTCGGCTGCCGCTTTTTTCCGGCTAGTTCCACCTTTCTTCTGGCCATTTCCGCCTTTTCCTTCAGGCTTTCATGGCTTGGCTTCAGGTTTGCGTGTTGTTTGAGTTTGCAAATTCAGGGTTCCAGGTTGTGGCTTCCGGCTTCTTGTTGCTTCAACAAACGGAAGCAAACGCTGCAAGCAAACGTCCTCGAATTGAACACTTTCACAGCCTCACGGGCCGTTTTTGGTCCATGACTTTTCCATGGGAAGGCAATTTTTTCACGTCAATGGAAGGCTCCAGGTACTCCAGCCACCCAGCGTCCTCAAGGCACACGTGACCTCAACTTCACAGGCCGAGCACAGCGCCGCCCACAGATGGGCGGTACCACTTCCCCAGGCTTACGGGTAAGCTCAAAAAGACCGGCGGTACCACTTCCCCAGGCTTCTTCCGGGTAAGCTCAAAAAGACCCTAGAAGAGTCAAATCTCCGTTTTCGGCTCGAGAATGGGCGGTTTGCTCCTTGGTGGGAAGCAAACCCCCGTTCTCGAGCCGAGAACGAGGGTTTGGTCCCGGACACTCCCGTCCCTCTGCTTTTGTTGTTGCCCTCTCGCAAGAATCACAACATGCGTGGGGCCTAAACCCTAAGCCCGAAACCTAACCCAAAACCCTAGCCCTAAAATTTAGTGGCGCAATCAGGCACAATCATTTTTGCGAATAATTTGTGCCAACATGTGTTTCCGAAATGTGACTGGATTTTGGACATGTACTCACTGAGTCCAAAAATGCATTTCACGTGGACAGCCATATGCTCGAAAATGTGATGTCTTTTGCATTGGCGCAGTAGTCACTCGAAAAATGTGACGATTTTTGTGTTTGTACCATTTTCTAAATGTTTTGCATTTTTTGCTTCTTCTGGGCGCATTTTATTGTTGCTTTTGCATGCGCCTTTCGCAGGCACATGTTTCAGATACATTTTGGCACATTTTTTGTACAAGTTTAATTGTTTGGGTTTCTGGGTTCTACCTGTGATTGTGCGACCAAAACCTAAAAACCCCTAAGCCGCCCTAAACTCTCAGAACCCCCAAACCCTACACCCCAAAGGCCCCAAGCCCTAAAAACCCCTAAACCCTTAAACCCTATGAACACCTCAACCCTAAACCCCTAAACGCTAAAAGACCCTAAACCCTGAAGCCAAAAAACCGCTAAGCCCTGAACCCTAAAAACCTTTAAACCTTTAAACCCCTAAGCCCCAAAAAGCCTTAAGCCCTAAGCCCTCCTGGAAAGCACGCCCTATAGCCTCCTGAAAAACACAGCAGTGTGAGCCTTAGACGCGCGCACGCCGTGCACCTTAGATGGTCCCACCGTGCCTGAGGGATTGGCGCACGGCTAAGGTCCAAAACCAATGCCTGGTTGTTTCAGGGTTCCTGGGGAGCCACAAAAACCTTAGCCAGAAAACGACACACCAAGGTATTCCGGGGACTAAGAAATGCACCACCCGGCCGATGGGCCCAAGGGGTCGGCGCACGGCTAAGGTCCAAAAACACGGCCTCGTCGTTAGAGGGGTTCCCGGAAAATCACAAATCCTCACCCGGAAAACAAGACACCCCGGGTGCCCGAAAACAAGGATATTTACCCCCCCCTCCCGCACCCGGATGCCAATTTACCCTCCCCCCCGAAGGCCTCCCGGCCGGTAAATTCCTCTAGGGGTGGTGATGTCAACAGCTCAGGTAGCTGAGCTGCGACGTGCGAATCAACATACGGAATGTTTCAAGAGAGGTAGTACGAGGTAGTTGCCGTGATGCTGCGTGACAAGAAACTCAGGCTTCTGCGCTCAGTTCCCGCGTCGTCTCTTACCGCGCTGGCAGCTTGACTGTTTTACGATCCCGCTTCATCTCGCTTGCCAACCAGCAAGTTTGTGATTTCGCAGCTGCTCCAGATCTGTTATTAGAGGCTACCCCGCTCATCTGCGGCGCCAGTTCTTGGGGCTGCACTTGGCTTGGCTGTAGCGGAGCGTTCTTTGGCACAACCGAATTCTTGTGGCAAGGTTGGAGCGAGACATCTTTTCTCGAAAGGCACGCCGACGTGTTCGGTGCATCTGTCTGCCGGTAGCTCTGTGTTTCTTGGTGCGCCCAGGTCTTGGGTGTCGCCTGCACGAATGCTCTCGAGCTTGGTATAGACATCGGCCGAATCTCCACTATATCTGCCACCAAGCGCATACTGCCCGGAGAACTTCTAAAATCAACATGTTCTGCATGTTCTTCGGACGGACCCTGTATACCCTGCACCATGCATATGTGACGAAGCTGTCGAGAAAGGTAAAAAGCCAAGGATTGGACTGTACAATCTCCTTGGGCTTTCCCGGCAGCGTGGCTTCACTTCGCAACCTTGCTGAAAGGGAGCATGAGCACAGCCTAAAATCTCGGCCCCCTCTCCCCAGCCTTCTCAGTGATTCCAGCGCAGAGGTCAACAATTCGGACGAGCTGGAAGGGCTGGTCATCCGGGGATCTCTTTCTTTGCATCCTGGCATGAATTGGCATGATCTCGCGTGATGTTGCGGCAGCTGCGTAGTTTTTTGCCGATGGCAGATGGGATCAGATGGGCTATTGGCAGCTGTGAATTATTGTGCCAGGTTGGGTTTGAGGACCCGGTGGACCAGCACTTCATGAAGCGACCTCGAGAGCTGTTAGCCGCACGGCAGAAGCAGTGCCGAAGCACAGAGTAGTTGAAAGCGCGTGCTTCCCAACCCCATGATTCGAAATGAACGTACACCTGCGCGGACTGCGGCTCCGGCGAGACATGACAGTGAAGAGTGCAGATAATTCAAACGTCGGTAAGGTTTTGTGCCGCTTCAGTTCATGTGAGATATTGTGAGATATATTGAGATATGTTTTTCCGTCGCCATTGAAACGGGTCAGCTTTGTATGCGAGTACTTTCGATAGCTACGGGTGTGACGAATGTACTGTTGCAGATAGACGGTTGCAGTACAGTTAGGCCTGTTGAGCTGCAATCGTTTCTCTATTTAGAAGCATCTAACTCAACAGTCAAGGCCTCGGCGAAGTTCAGACACATACAACAATTTGACAATGAGTGCTTGGCCAGTCATGCCATGCGAGATGCGCACGTGCGTGCATCTTCAATTAAGTGAGATGAAAGCCTGCATGCGTCTGGGTCGGCTCGCTGGCCGGTTGGACATGTCGGAGCGACGCATGTTTGTACACCCCTAGCAGTGTCTTGCTTGAAGAGGTTTGCAGTTGTGTGGAGGGTCACTCCGATGCAGTGAACCTCATTTAGACCATCTCCCACCCTCAACATCCCTCGAGAGCACGGCAAATATGAGCCTTCATTGTGAGCCCGAGACTTTGTAGAGATACCCAGTAGACGTTGCATACGTTGCCGATGTACAAGTACGATTCATGATCATATGTGGTGCGAAGGCGCGACGCCCGGAATCCGTGGCCGTCGCTCCAGGTAACATCACTGTGCTTTGGCTGAGGGACCGTTTTGCGTTTCATCGGGCTGTGATTCATGGTTGTGTGTTGAGATCGTGGAAACTATTGGCCAAGACATTTGTCAAGTGCACTTGTGCCGCCCATGTGAGAAGTCTATGAGGTGCTTCGGAGCCACTTGCCGTGCGTGGCCTTCGAACGGCATATCAAGCCAGACGACGCCAGGCCAGGCCATTGGCCGATGTTGGTCGGATAGGGCGACTGCAGGAGAAATAACGCAGGAATCGTATGATAAGGGTCCATGGAGCCCTGGGGATCTGAGCCTGTACTGAGCCTGTACTGGGCCCAGACAAGTGCTGCGAGTGTTCTGCGCATGTGACGAATGCAGCGGCATCCCGTGCGAAGACTTAAGGCCTGTCCCTGCTTATGCTGACCTGGACCCCCACAATCCATGTGCCTTCGGCAATCACGCAGTCATGCAGTCATGCGAGGTACTGGCATGAGGACGCCGATAACTCCACCTGGCAAGCGGCGGTGCGGCAGCTCGTTCGAACGGACATGTGACACTGTGAATCAGATGAATTTTGGTGGTCGGAGATGGATGCGCTGAGACAAGTGAGGGTGCTTGCTGGGGAAACTCAGATGACTTTTCCACTCGATTCCCGCAGCTGGTCGTGGAGTCGCATGTGGGGTTGCAAAGAAACTGAGGAAGTGCCTTGAGGATGGAGGCCTGGCGGAGCAGAAGGAGGCCATGGATCAAAAACGTGCCATCAACTCCTTGACCCACATGGCCTGACGATGGATAGAGCAGGATTTTGGCTTGGCCCTGGTCCCGGCACGCCGTTGGGCGACCCGACCGGGAGGACTTTGCACCATTTTGCACCAACTGCCCACGTACAGACCGAACACCGGAAATGGCCAGGACCTCACAGAGCAGTGTCCATCCGCGCGGTGGAGGAAACACCGCCCGTTCATGTGGATTTGTTATTTGTTCTGATCAGCCCATGTGCAAGAAAGCTGTGTAAATCTTAGCAAGAGAGACTATTCAGTACATCGTGCAGTGCAGCACTTTTTGCAGATCTTCTTGGTTTGCATCGAGGATCACTTCGAGGTGGTGGAAGTGACGTCGCAGGAGGCTGCAGCTACGCACTTCCACGCCACATGGACCACTTTGTTCGAGACACGCTTCGTGAACCACGCCGCATAGGTCAAGTGTGTTGTGTTGGACCCAGTTTTCTGCCAGAGAACGGAAGCCGAATCTGAAACACTGACCTCCCCAACGTGACGGGCATGTCTGAACCCATCTCTAAAGCACGCGCCCCCTAGGTGCTATAAGGCTCTGCTCTCGTGAGGGTTGAGCCTCGAAGCTCTCAAGCCGCTTTGCTCCCTTTCTGACGGCTGAAATTGAGACAATGCTGACACAAACTGAAGCAGCCGGGGGGAGGGGGGGTTGGCAACTGCTGCAGGCACCTGTCTATGAGGAAGGCGGTTTCCTGCAGGAGCCAAGGCCTCCCTTGTGACCAGTAAATGCCTAGGACACGGAGACCTCAGTTTCGCCTCAGCTCGTGCTTTCCCTATGTGTTTAATCCGCGGCAGTCTTGCTTGCCAGTCGAAGTGGGGCCGGCGGAGCAGTCACCGCTTTCCGAAAGCTGGATGAGATCGACATCTCCAAGGTGCTTGTAGGGCCAGGGAACCCACACGCTCGCACGATCTCGCACGCATGCGGCTTTTGGAGAGGGTCGCCTGTTGCCAATCATGTCTGCGTTGCCGCAGGCTTTCTATTCGCTGCATCCAGGGGCCGTGTATCGTGCCACAGCAGAATTATGCTGTGCTGTGTGCTGCCACTGCTGCGACTGTGCCCTCCGATGCCATTTAGGCTACCGGGGAGCCGAGTACTTCGTCACAGATCTGGATCTCAAGCGCCGGAGGGCAACGGTGAAGAAATGCGATGCGCCTCTGGCCTACTACACCCGAGCTTTCGACCACACGGAGGTCCGAATCCATACGCGTGAGAAACATGCGACATCTGGCCCGGCGAAGGTGTTCTTGGGCAGAGTGGAGATGGAGAGCCGTGTGAAGAGTTTCAAGCGATTCTGGAAGTCACAGGATGTTCAGCAAGAGCCTGAGGTCGAGCTGACTCTGCCGAGTTGGGGCTACTGCACCCGTGGCTTGTGGTTTGAAGATCCTGTTGGTGTGGCGCGTCGTCCCGAGATGTCTTGGAAGCAAGAGTCGATTGGAAAGAGAGACCCAGAAGGCAAATTGCAACCCGGAGAAGCCGGAGAAGAGTGGACTTGGGGCTGCGGCTGGGCTGGGGCACACGCTGCTATGCACGCACTTCTTCATGTGTTTCCACTCTTTGTTCTAGCGGACCGGCAAGACCTGGATGCTGCTTGCATGGACGAGCACGAAGCACCACCCATGGAAACTTGCTGGCCAGCTTAGGTTGTCTTAGTTGTCTTGTGTATGTTCCTGTTTGTCCTGCGACGCACGCGTGGTGGCAGAACCAGCGAGCGTTCCAGGACCACCCTCGCCTCATGATCTTCGATGCCAAGGATGAGGTCAGGGTTTGAGCTCAAGCCCTGCCACAGAATCTCAAACGACAAATAGGTCCCCTGATCCATACTGGCACAGTGGGCACAGTGGTGGTTACAGGGTTTCATTTGAACACTTTGAAGTTGCAGTTTTTGCACAGCTACTCGCTGCACTCTCCGCTGCTGCACAGGGCCTCGGCCTCTGCGATGCCGCCTTTCCACATGGCTTCGCTATGCTCCGAGAGGCGCGCCGCCTTGCCGCTTGGCCACCAAGAGTGTCGAGCCTGCTGATGGCTGCTCGTGGCGGTTTGCTGCGTGCGCTCATGCTATACTAGCTATTGCGCGAGTCGCTAGCTCTTGCCACAACCATAGTATTTGCCATTGGCTATCCTCAGATTTCCCAGAAGGGTGTAGTGAACGTGTAGGTGTTGGATTCTCGTTTTGCCTAATTAGGGCCGCACGATATCGCTTGTCGTCCATGAAATTTCGCTCGCCTTCCAGTTGCCCTTCATCCGCATCCGTTCGCCCCGATGTTGCTCGCCTACATGTCATGACCTGCCCCTCACTTCGACCGCGCGACCTCGCTCGCTTCATCCACGGCCCGCCCATCGACCAACCATTCACCCGCTCTCGCTCGACGGGAAACACGAGTGTGTGACGAAGGGCAAGGACATGCGCAGTATGGCGCAGTGGATAGGGTGTGTTGGGCGGGGCAACAATGAGGTGAGCAGATCGGGGTGGACAGGGGTGGTATGGGGTGGTGAAGGTGGGTAGGTAGGTGATGAAGAGCAATGGGCGGGCAAGCGAGATCAGGTGGACGAGCGTCGACGAGTGAGGTGCGTGATGAAAGGTAACAGGCGGGTGATGAAAAAACGGCCAAGAGATTGTAGGTCCAGGTTGACGGGCAGAACGCTTTAGGGTCGGGGACTGGTCGGGGTATTGTCGGGGTGCTTCTTTGTATAGCGAATTTGACATCGAGGGAGCGGCGCCCCACACAGCTTCCGACTAGTCGACGACGTTTCGCTTGGGATTTCGGGTTCCAGGCTTGACTTTGTTTGACTCCTCCTTTTCCTTCAGGTAGAGGACTGCCCATGTCAGCATGGCTGTCCCGCTTGCATCATCGATCCGCACTGCCGGGAGTACAATCGCTTTCTCTCAAAGCGCGGGGCCCTCGCAACCTGGTAGCAAGCGGTCGCATCCGTTTAACATCCGTTAAGGTTCTTGGAACCTTGTGTGCGCATTGCGGCCGGGCTTTCTGAAAAGATAGCGTGCTCCAAGACAACTGCTGAAGACCAGGATGTGTTTCAAGTATCTCTCCTTGTCGAGGATTTCGTTGACAAAGAACTCAGTAAATAGGTGGTAACTCAGGATGTAAACTATAGGCCTTCCCATGGCCTCCTTTCCACAACCTATCAAGGCTAAACCCCAAGACCAAACACTAGCGCAACACCGTCAACACCATCCTACATTCCTGTATGCGTCGGCGTTGAGGAGTGGCTGCAAGGTCTGGAGTCCGGCAACCCCACGATGGGCAATATGGACCTGGACGTCGGGATGGAGACTTGACGCGCTCATCGTTCACCTTGTCTGCGGCAGTCACCTGGTCACCTTACAGACCTCATCAGCGATGGAAAGCATGTACGCGGTCGAACATGGATCTTCATTGGTCGAACGGATCTTCATTGGTCGAACATGGATCTTCGTTGAAAGACACTGTTCATCGTGATTGAACAGCAGAAGATGCCAGTTGTTCACCGACTGGCGTTGCAGTCTGAGACGCGAGGCGGCAAACGTGAGGGACGCGTACGTCACCGTTGCAGATACCGGCGTCGTACGTTGCAGGACGTACTGTTGGCTGCCTGGTGTGATGCATATTGGATGGTATTGGATACAGCTACATGCACGGCTAGCTCCCGCGTCGACACGAGCCAACCATCCGCCAAACAGATGCTGTAGCCCCGTGACTCATAGTAGGATTGCACGACCTCCTGGGACAACGCAAGCAAAATGCTTCCTTTCAACCCTGTTTCTGTCCTGTGTCTGTAACATGCGCACTTGCTTTGTGACTGTTGGCTGCAAGAGGCGGTGACCCTCCCGGAGAACTTTCATGCTGTAGTGTCTGCTTTCGAGGGCGCAGGCAGGGACCGCTTTGCTTTGCTTACGGTGGTTGCGCTGCTTGCGCGAAGCTCAAGGATTAGTTTTGCAAAAATGAAGGCACTGATAGGCATGCAACACGTGCACATGTTGGGCACGTGTTTGGAAGGAATGGAGCCGAGCAAGTCCGAGCAAGCGATGAGGGTGCAAGTAGAGGTCGCTTGGATGATGTGGCAGAATGCAATGCTCCCAGCTGTTTCCCTCCTGTGTTGCAAGCTTCGTGCAAGTCCAGCCAGAACTGGCTGGTGGAAGGCAACGCTGAACCACGAACAGAGCTATGAATTGCTGCGCCCGCGCTGCATTTTGTCAATTCTGTCCTCACGTGCGGTGCAACATGTAGATCCTTTTTTTGCAAGCCTAACACCCATCGTCATGTTGCCCTCACCATCCACTCTACGATCTATCGCAAGTCCACGAAGAACTAAACTCTGCAGGCCCTGTCAAGGGGCTCATGGGATCATGATACCAAATCAACTGAAGAAGGCATCACGGGCCCCAAAACTCTCTGCTCACCACGTCCGGCCTTTAAAAAAACCCAGACACCAAAGGAAGCTGCTTCATCTGCCTGGTCCTCAGTTGTTGTTATGGTTCCTGCTTCCTGCTTGGCGCTCGGGTTGCATTTTTGTCATGTAATCTGTGCCTGTTTTTGCGCGATAGCCCCTCCAGGACCAGTGAAAGAAACACCACGGGTTTGGCAAAAGAATGGAGGAGTAGATTTAGGGAAATCACCAGAGCCGCTGGTCAGAGGCTAGAAGATTTGGACGACATCGGTGAGATTCATCACAACGTCGCGGTCTCATTGCGTTGATTGTACAGCGTTCGTTCCAATCAGTCGTCATTAGGCTGTCTTGGCCGATGATGTGGAGCTCAAGTTGGCATCCCAGTCTGTCGGACGTTCATAGACTTGCTGGGAATGGAATGTGCGCGTCCACGCCTCTGGCCGGAAGTGTCAGAGAAGCGAGTGGCATAGTAGTGGTGTCTTTTCTTTGCGACAAGTGGTCTTGCTCTGTCGGAGAACCGCACGTTTCACATCACAGTTCTTTCTCTGCGCTGCGATGATTTTGCCTTCAGGCTGAGCAACTATGGCGTCCCACTGGCATACAAGACGGCTTACAAGAAGTGAGGCGGTGCTGCCCACTCGAGTGCTTGTGTTTTGGCTCGCTCGGCCAAAGAATGTAAATGTGATGAGGGTCATGTGCCCAGGTCCTCAAAGTAAAGTGAAGCTCCAAGCCTGTCATCCATGGTGACGTCCTACAATTTACCAGGAAGGACATCCAAGGTTCAGGCCGAAAGAGACACAGTTCATGGCCTGAGTTCATGTTGGATCTGGCCTTTGCCGGTGGCCAATACCGCCAGTTTTCGCAGCCAAAGCTGTGGGTCGCCAACGGTGTTCAGCAGAGGAACGACCCACTGCTTTTAGGCTTCGCTGTGCATCGCATCGTGGCAACACGCCCCGCGAATGCGGCAAGGTGATGAGCATATTGTAACTGTATCTCGCGAATCCAGGGCTGCCACTCCAACATCCCTTGCCCATCATTGCCACTACAAACAAAACATCGGCGTAGACCGAGCAAGTCTCAAGCCGCGATTTTCGAGTTGCGTATCTGGGTACAAATGTAGAAACGACTGAGGGTCGTCAACCATGAGGGTTTTTGGCAGGTCAAGGTTATGGCAAGCTTGCAGAGATTTTGTCCCCCCCACAATTAGCTGCCTTACGTCATGAAGCTGATGCTCAGCAGCCCCCAGAGTTCCACACTGGGTGAAGGTCGGACAGCTAGCATGGATGTGTTTCTCATGGCATGCCCCGCTCCCTGCCCCACACCTTGCAATCACCTGACCTCTCATTTGACTGCCTTCACCCTCATTGTCACCTTGGCCCTCGCCATCACCCTAACCGTCATCTGCACCACATTCACTTTCGCCCCCTTTACCTCGCCTTCACCTTCACGGTTTGATTTTCGCCCACCCTTACTCAGCCTTACTCTCACATTCCCAAACCACTCTCACCTTCGCGTCCGCCCTGACTTTCAAATTCCCACCGTCATTCTCACCTTCGACTTGCCTTTCCCCCTCACGGTTACCATCTCCCTGACCTTCGCCCTCACCCTCAACGACCCCTCAAATAACCAGGTGCGCACTTTGTTCCTTTGGGAAACTTCAAACTCTCAAGGCCCGACCACATGCACAGCGCGCTAGTCGCTAGTCACGGCCTATAGTCGTCACTTCATGTCAATGCGAGCACCGAGACCGACATGTGCAAATGGGCCATCACCCGGTTCAAGGAACGGTGATAGAGCATCAGCCAGAAGCATCTGCAGCTTTGAGCGGCACCGCTTTGCCAAATTGCGGAACTGCAACATATACAGTACTCGTAACATAGACCAAGCCGCCGAGTCACTCGTAACGTTGCCCTCCATGCGACGACACCATGAACTTTTTCTGGGACACGCAGCGGGATGCGCAGCGGGAGGCACGGTGCCGTGTAGTGGAAGCGCAGCTGCATTGAAGTAGAACGTTCAGCTGAGCGGCCTTGCGCCACACTAGGCTCTCGGGGAAGCTCTGGCTGTTTTATCGCATCAGTACATTACATGATCCGTCTCGGCACTCTGCAGTCTTTGAAGCTCAACGAGCTTTTGGACCTCTTGCGCAGGGCTTGAAGACCGCCGACGTGCGCACACAGCACGAGGATCGACGAAGATGCCTGCGGGTGAACATGGGTGAACCATTGCAATTTCTGTCAGTGCAAAGCTTGTCTGCGGTCCGCTTCTTCCATCATCCCGTACAGCCCTATGTGAGCTACTGTCGAGGTGCGGCGTGTTGAGCGCCAGATTCCCAAGAAACTGGCTTGGGGGTTGCAAATTGTTCAGACCTCGAGAAGCGGCTGGAAGGGCGAGCAAGACCGAGTGTGTTCTTGGAGGCATTTCTCGACGAGTTCCTTCGTTACCTGAGGGCAGATGGTTAACAATAGGTTGACATATACGTACTGAATTGAACCGAGTTGGCCTGTGAATGTCATGCTCCGCCTGCGCCTAGCTTCTGGGCTGCCTTCATGCAGTGAACTTCAGAGCTTGAGGTGAGTGTTCTGCGCGATTGCGCAATCCTGTCCATCACTAGCTTTCGGCCTGTAGCGCAGCCGGGACGAGCTACAGAACATCAGAACCAGAGGAAGTTTGATGTTGTTTTCTTGCCAAGGTGAGGAGGAGCTGGAGGCCACAGCATGGGCAGGTTGCTGATGTGGAGGCTTAGGCTGTAACAGCTGGAAGCATCAGCAGCTGAACAGGCCTTGCTAGCAGCTGCTAGCAGCTTACAGTCGCCACGATTGTTGCAGGCGATCGCATCGCGAATCCACCTGCAGCGCAACGAACACCGCAGCGAGCGGCAGCACCTCAGCACTGCAATTGCTTGTTCAAAGGGCAGTCGAGGATATGTCCGGAGAAAGGTGCACAGGCCGGTTTGATGATTTGATCTAACGAACTGGCATCTTGCCGGGGGGATGCGGAGAGAGGCTCTTTGCGCTGGGACTTGCACAGCTCTTTTTTGTAATTTCTGTGCCCAGGTTCCTGGAGGAACTGGCGAGGCAGGCGTTGCGTCAGAGCGCGGAGCATGAGGCCGGCGGTGTCAACTCACGTTCATCTAAGCACTACCCGATGTTGCCCGTTTGTCTCGTGGCAGCTGGTAGAGCAGGTTGACGGCAGATTTCGGCCCAAGCAGGGTTAGCTCGGAATGTTCGGAGCATGGTGTCGAAGGCGGGAAACGCGCACGAGCTTCGGAATTTCAGCCCAACTTGGAACAGACACTCCTTTCAGCAGTCCTCCTGGCCTTGCTGAGCTTGATGTCCAGGTCATACTATCCTTGCTCTGACTACTTGCAAGGTGCCTGGAAGGTTCGAGCTTCAGTGTGTCTTTGTAGCGTGAGATTCATTGCAGCAAGGATGCCCATTGCTCATACACATCCATACACCATCCAGAGTCGTTGCAGTGCATCATGCTGTAAACGAGCGCAAACAACATTGTAGCAGAGCGAAAGGTGCATGCGCTGTCCAATCCAAGGTCTAACGGACACAACCATACAAACGACAGGCCACCGCAACTGGTTGCTGCTTCTATTGAATTCTCGGGATCGATCCTATGTTAACAGTACGAGATATAGCCGTGCCTTGACACTGCTTTCACTGCAGCAAGACATTGCGGCTTAGCTGACCCTTGGGCTTGTCTGAACAACAGCTGCTCAAGCGGCTAGTAGGCAGCTGCTCAGTTTGCTTCGCAACCTTTGCCAGCGTGGCCATGCTCCGCTCAGCAGCGCGCTTCAAGCACATTTGGTCCGCTGGCGACAAGCAGTATGTGGGCTGCTGGGAGTCCGTTCCCCGTCGCTACGGCAATGCCTTGGGCCCCGTGTCCTACGCCAACCGAGCTCCCGTGCCCAAGGACTGGGTACTGAGGGGGAGTGGTATCCATGGCCCAGAGAACGGAGAGGTCATGAAGTTGGCGCTGTGGAATCGGCTGAAGCAGAAGCGCCCCCAGCGCCAGGGCGTGACGACAGCTGACCTGCAGGAGTTCTACCGAATGGAGATCACAGTTGTGTGGTGGATGTTTGGCCTGGTGTTCTTCGTGGCGCCTCTCAACTGGTGGGGGAAGAAGTACCGCATGGTCCACGACCACTACCCGTGGATGCCCAAGCGCATGGACGGCACCCGCGGCGTGGGCCCCTACGCCTGGTTCTTCGAGTGAGGCAGCGACACCCTCGGCCCACTTACGGACATCCTCGTTAGCTTGCACAGATTTCGTGCAACATCATAGTGATGCCGATTGAGAGATGTACATTTGACTTGATTGCTACCGGAGAATTTCTCTTCCGACTTCCGGGGCCGGATGTTTGACGTCAGCGCAGGCCACGCATTGCCGGAAAAGACGGCTTGACACGCACCTCTTCCACAAGATGAACTGTAGGAGCATGGCTTTGACTTGAACAGTCCTAAGTCCAATTTTATGATGCCAGGAGGGCAGCCGTGTTGTGTACAGGATAGCGGATAGCGGATATTGTGACTTGGCTGATCTTGTGCTTGATTTGCCGGCTTAACCAACAGCTGCTCAAGCCGGCTGCTCAGTTTGCTTCGCAACCTTTGCCAGCGTGGCCATGCTCCGCTCAGCAGCGCGCTTCAAGCACATTTGGTCCGCTGGCGACAAGCAGTATGTGGGCTGCTGGGAGTCCGTTCCCCGTCGCTACGGCAATGCCTTGGGCCCCGTGTCCTACGCCAACCGAGCTCCCGTGCCCAAGGACTGGGTACTGAGGGGGAGTGGTATCCATGGCCCAGAGAACGGAGAGGTCATGAAGTTGGCGCTGTGGAATCGGCTGAAGCAGAAGCGCCCCCAGCGCCAGGGCGTGACGACAGCAGACCTGCAGGAGTTCTACCGAATGGAGATCACAGTTGTGTGGTGGATGTTTGGCCTGGTGTTCTTCGTGGCGCCTCTCAACTGGTGGGGGAAGAAGTACCGCATGGTCCACGACCACTACCCGTGGATGCCCAAGCGCATGGACGGCACCCGCGGCGTGGGCCCCTACGCCTGGTTCTTCGAGTGAGGCAGTGATGCCGGCCACCTGCAGACATCCTCATTAGCTTGCACACATTTCATGCAACATTATGGCGACGCCGTTTGTTATTCTACTCTTGAGACATTGTATTTACTCTCAAGACATGTTCTTTGATAAGCAGAGCAACAGGGCCAAACGCATCTGCAGGATCATGCAACATAGTCGCAGCAAGACTTTGTTTGGAGCTGTTCTTGACAAACTTTGTGGAACGTGCGGCACGTACACACTTTTTGTAAGCAGAAGATGGTGCGCGAATGCGAGCTGCGGACAGTGGCAAAGATTTGTTGTTAGCAGTGCGCATGTTTTTACAATCGATCACGCCGTGAGGCGCCATGCACAGGTGCCGCTGTCACTGCAACACGACATTGGCTTAGCTGACCCTTGCGCTTGTCTGCAGCTGCTCAAGCGGCAAGTAGGCGGCTGCTCAGTTTGCTTCGCAACCTTTGCCAGCGTGGCCATGCTCCGCTCAGCAGCGCGCTTCAAGCACATTTGGTCCGCTGGCGACAAGCAGTATGTGGGCTGCTGGGAGTCCGTTCCCCGTCGCTACGGCAATGCCTTGGGCCCCGTGTCCTACGCCAACCGAGCTCCCGTGCCCAAGGACTGGGTACTGAGGGGGAGTGGTATCCATGGCCCAGAGAACGGAGAGGTCATGAAGTTGGCGCTGTGGAATCGGCTGAAGCAGAAGCGCCCCCAGCGCCAGGGCGTGACGACAGCAGACCTGCAGGAGTTCTACCGAATGGAGATCACAGTTGTGTGGTGGATGTTTGGCCTGGTGTTCTTCGTGGCGCCTCTCAACTGGTGGGGGAAGAAGTACCGCATGGTCCACGACCACTACCCGTGGATGCCCAAGCGCATGGACGGCACCCGCGGCGTGGGCCCCTACGCCTGGTTCTTCGAGTGAGGCAGTGACGCCTGAAGCGACTGACGTTCAATCCAAGAATATTCGCGCGTTTTTGATTTCCTTCCGGGCTCGTAAGATTACAGTTGACTTGTTGCACTTGCTCATGCTCGCGTGCAAAATGAGACGAGACAGCTTGGCGCGGTGTAGTTCGTTCTGCCAGCCAGCAATACCGGTAAGCCGCTGGACTGATGCCCTAAACATCTCCACCTGGCAAGGCCTCCCTTCGAGACTGTTCTTTGCAGTCATGCTGCGCAGCCCCAATGCCCGGCAGGCAGGTGGGGTCTGTGGGAGCATTGGACTCTGTTGGCATAGCGCAAGAGGGGGGGGCCAGCCCCATATAGACGATATTGTAGATGCGTACAGAGTCGGAATGAGTTGGACAACTGCTCGGCTGCAGGCTAGGGTGCACTAAGCATGTCTTTATCAAAGCGATTTTGAAGTTGTTACTCAGTGCTTCGAATATCTGAGGTCGGCCGCGTTTGGCCGCTGGGATGCAACCATGCTATCTGAGTGGCACAGGGCCGGACGACCAAGTGCAGTGGTAGTGGTAGTAGTAGTAGGAGGAGGAGTAGTAGTGGGCAGTAGTAGGATAGTAGGAGAGCAGTCTTCGCAGTAGCAGTCGTCGTAGCTGTAGCTGGTAGCAACAAAGGTGTGCCGACCCCGTGGCTCTTTAGACCGAAAAGTGGACTCTAGCGGTGCAAACTTGGTACCAATTCCTTGCCAAAGTTTCGAGCCCTTTGACTGCGTACCCTTCTTGGATCACGAGTAGAGGCAGTAGTGATCAACGATCCCCATTGACATGCGTGCCGCGAACTGCACATCCCAGAAGTACTTGGGCTGCTTGGGTTGGTATAAGTTTCAAGTAGAGGCAACGGAAGCTGGGTTGTATTAAAATGCAGCACGTACTGATGCGAAATGGTGCTGACACTTTTTTGGTTGGCAGCTGATGTGGCGCTGATGCCGAGCAATGGACGATTCGGGCCTTGAAGTGGAGGGGGATGAAGACTGGCGTGTCTCGGTTGATGGGCTCCCCCACCCGGGGCCCCACTTTCATTACCCAGCCTGGCCCGCAGTTACTTCAACAGTTCGAGGCACACTGTCCAAGCTGGCATCCAACATTGAATTCATGGAAAAGCCGATGTGGTACAAGCTTGAAGTACTTTTTCAGCACCTTCTGATCCTTCATGCCGACAAACGCCAAGAATAATGCAGACGACGTCAGGTTATGGGCCTCTTGGGCGGGCTGGTGCGCGGGGTTCGGGCAGTGAAGCACAAGCTGCAGCTCGGCATAAGCCTCCATCCTCTGAGGCATCCATCGTGATCTGTCTAGCTTGGGCTTTGAACTGTAAAGCAGCCCTGTGTGCCGTCCAGCAACTAGGCCGCTGCAAGTCCCAGCTTTGATGAAGAGGACGGCCTGACAAGTCTTCACAGGGCCTTCGTCCGGTGCATTCCGGTACCCGAGCTTTCAGGCTGCACGGTGTTTGCAAATCCCTCGCAAGCTGCAGGATGAAGACTGGCGGTATGGGCCTTTGGGTAGAGCCGGCAGCTTTGCCTAACGCAGACATCTTGTCAGCCAAGTTGTTCTTGCTTGGGGGGGTTGGGGGGTTGGGGGTGTTGGCAAGGCGCGCTGAAAGACGAGGAGGAGCTTGAGGATCCCGAGGATCCCATCCCTCTGACCAAGGGCTCAGCTGCGGAGGCGCGGCGTGCTTCTGAGTTACTTTCATGGGCTCTGCGAGACGAAGCTTCGCTGGAAAGAGGAAGCACAGAAGTCTTGGATGTGCGGTAAGTGGCAGGGTGTTGTGGATTGGGTATGGTTGGGTTATGGGCTGCGACGGCTACAGTAATTAGCAGTTGCACGGCAAAGGTGCAAAGGTCAGCGCATGAAAAGCCTGTGGCTTGTTGATGCAACGATGCAAAATTGCATACGCAGGAGCGCACGTCGCGATCTGCAGAGCCGCTGCGGCAAGAGGAGGCTTGGTTAAGTTTCGTGGATGTAACGCCCAGCTCAGCATCGGACCTCAGCAGCAACCTGTCGACCGCATTGTTGACGTAGCTTTGGCCTGTTGTGGGTTCAGTTCAGCCAGGTTGACATGGAAGAACCCTTGTGAACAAACCAACCGACAGACCACAAAATGCCGGACCTGCACGCCCTGCTGGACAGAAAACTTGTCAGCACATCTGCACGTAGTTGGTCCCACGAACGGTTGCTGGCTTTGGCTTCGGCTTTGTGCAGAAACAGCAGCAGAAGAAGCAGCAGAAGAAGCAGCAGAAGCAACAACCGCAAGCACGACGACGGCGACGGCGACGGCGACGGCGATGACAGGCTTTCACAGATTGTCTCCTCCGTTTGATTTTTGCGAAGTACGGGTGTGCCTTCCTTCGATTGCGTGGGACGTTTGACCGTGCAGGTACAGCCTCGCACCATCTGGGCCTATTGGGCGCAAGGTCACGAGCCACCCGTCTTGGAGTGGCTGCATGGTGGACCTAGTATGAAAAACGGCCGTATGCCTGGCCGGCCGTAGGGCCGGAATAGATCAGCCTCTTGGTAGGTCACGTCGTGCAATTGTAGTCTTGGTGTTGGGCGACCTGGCCACCTCATCAGGCTATCCAGCACCTGTTGGTGTGTAAAGCACTCAAGACTTAAGGCATAACGAGGTACACTATGCACCGAAGTGGTCAAGGCAGTGGAAGAACAATCCCTTCTGGCCAGTACAGCTGTTGCAGTCGCAAGGCAGATGCCGGCATTTTTCCGAATGTGCGTTGACACATGGCAGCGTGTCAACCCACATTGGGATGCTGCTTGACTGCGAACTATTGCATTGGCCAGTCCGTGGAAGCATGCAGATGATTTTGGAATATGCTGGTGGCAGTGTCAAGAAGAGATGTCTCTTTGCCGAAATGCACCCGTTGTCGGCTTGGTTAGTGGCTGCAAAACGGAATGTGCTACATCGACACTAAGGCCTGCATGAGGTTCCACCCTCTTTACCGTGGTTACAGATTCAAACCAGGGCCACCCCAGCGGGCTCGGCAATCCAATTGAAAGGCGTGCCGCACGAAATGTCCTTACCAGCACCGACAAACTTTTGTATACCTTTCTTGTCCTTTCTTTCACTTGGCCAGTTGGACCCTCCCCCCCCCCCCCCCCCCCCCCCCCCCCCCCCCCCACCCAAACAATACGTCAATACGTTGCATTTACGCCGGTGAGGCTGTCTTTTACACTTTTGGAGGGGCTCCCAAAGAGGTCAGGTTGGAACATTACTACAAGCTGCTTCTGCGCCGCTTTGGAGTATGCGAGTTCACGTACAAGTTCGCAAGCTCTGCGGTGGACTGCCCACTTAGGTACGTATTCTGCAGAAGTCAACAGTAATGGAGCATCTTGACAGAGCTCAGCTGGACAGTCGTCCTGTTGAATGACATCGTGGTGCAGCTTCGTGCCCGCGAATTGTTCCTCGCTGATCTAGCCGTCGAGGGCAGAAAAAAGTCGGCATCTTGCTGCCCAGGTATTTGACCGAAGATGAGCTGCCCAATCGTTTCATGGACATGACGTCCCACCAGACAGTCGCTTGCCAGCCTCCGCACATGGGCAGGAACATGTTCAGTGAAACTAAAAAAATCCTTGGCCAAATTGTGTAGGACCTTTGTTGTTAAGATTGGCCAATCTTGAATCGAAGTGCGCATGTCGCAACAGTGGCTTTATTCAAAAATAGGGTCTGCGTCCTGTACTCCAGTCCTGGCCACCCGGTGTCGACTCGCAAGTTGTCTCACTTTGACGGGCTTCCGGGAGCCGAGGCCTCCGATGCGGTGCGGCTTGGAATCCTTTGCCGCTATGGTGGGGCTGCTTGTCGAAACCTGGGGAGGAGGGCGGAAACCTGCAGTGTGGGGCTAACAGGGGCTAACAAGAGTCTTGGAACTTCCAGCGTTTCATGTCTCGGGTGCATGATGAGATGGCGAGTAGGTTCTGTCGCTAAGTTCATGGTATTTCATGGTCGTACATCGAAGTAGAAGCCGTCTCTGTCAATGTGGTGGTGTTCCTGCAAGTGCCTTGTCTTGACAAGTCGGCCGTCTGAGATTTGGATGGATGTAAATATCTTGGTTTGCGGCAGCCTGGACAAGCTGTGCTGGAATGCCATCTCCTGGGGGCAGCGACCGGCATGCGTGGCTCGCCTCCATTTCAGCAGATGCTTTGCTCTTTCTACACAGCGAAGCCCTGAAAGTTGGAGCATCTGCTCCGATGCCATGTTCCAGCCTTCCCCCCATCTTTGATTCGCGTTCGTGGCGAGTGGCATCCCGCCTGGTGGCTCACCCACGTGTTGCTTCACGAAGTGACGAGGTTGGAGCACCCGGGCTCAGCAATTATTCAATTATCTTCCATCTGGTTATATCTGGTTCTCACTGGCTGGAGCCGACATGGCACCATGTCGGAGAGGGGTATAACCATAGACAAGAAAACTCAAGCTTGAAGCGCAGTTTGGAGTGGACGCTTAGAGCCGGACATTAGTGAGCCACGGGCAGAAGAAGAAACGAATCTCAGCTATCCAGGGGTTGCAGCGTGGATACTGCATGGAGCAGTCTACAGTAGCAGCTAAGCCGAAAACTGAGCGACAACAAGCTGGAACCGTCAAAGCTGGAAATCGCATGAAGCTGGAAACCGAACAAGAGCTCACTCGAGGCGCTCCGGAATGCGAGCTTCCGAGGGAGCGTAGCTTCTGCCTGAAGTTCCTTCTCAGGTCTTTTACCACCCCTCCTACGGGACCGATGCACTCGGAGGCAAAGATTTTGTCGAGAGCTGCTTGCCGCAATATCTGAGGACATCCGACCATTACATGCAAGCAATGTGCTCATTATGCCCTGGTTCCTTTCAAGGGGTCGAACTAGATTTGCCAGGAAAGGGTGAGCGGCGTTGACGCTTGTTAGAGTTTTTGGATGCCCGGAATGTGAGCCTATTGCTGACGAAGTTTGGGATGCCTGTCAAAGCAGTGAAGTCATCATCAAGATCTTCGGATGCGAACGGGTCATGTTGGAATGTGGAAAAGTGTCATCTGGAAGGGGCATGGAACTGTCATTTTGGTGGGGGAGGGGGGTGGGGCTCCGCCCGGCTTGAAGGCTTGTGTGTTTAGTGTTTACCCACGGTTGCGGGCTAGCGGCTCCAGCAGGCCCCCTCCCCTGCTGAAGCTTTACTGTATACCTCAAAGGAGATGCTGGCTGAGAAGTACACATGAAACGAAAAATGAGAAGCACTGAAGGGAGAGGGAATGGTAAGCCCCGATGCCCAAAAAGCAGACGGCGGAGTGAGAGCCTGGAACCTTGCTGAGAAGTGATGTGTTCTTGCTGAGACGCAAATACTGAAGTCACGATCTCGCCTCCATAAGGTTGAGGGGCCGCCTTCTGGGGTTTTTTCGGTGTTGACGAGTTGCCACAGTAAAAAGCTGCATTCTGGACATTCTTCCGCCTGTTGGGCTATTTTTGCCTTCTGTCTTCGTACAGCACCTCACTTAGCATCCGCAGCGAGCTACTTGTTAGGTTGGTTTCTCGCGACGGCGCCGGGCAATCCCTTTTTCATCCGCTGGCGGGATATCTTCAAGGAAGCCTGATAGAGCTTGTGCTGGAGAGCAACCTTGGCCGAGTTGGTCGCCTTCCTGTAGGAGTTGTTTCACGACCGCCTGGACATTGAAGGGCTTCTGGGCCATCGGTTCTACCAGGTGCGAAGGGCCAAGTTTAGTCGAGGTCTGAGGGTCCGTGCCAAGATGTGTGTTTGAATGGTTTCCTTTACTGGTATTTTGCTGCTCATTCTCAGCCTGCAGGGCCTGGACCTGTCCGGCTTCGAGAAGCTGAACAACGACTTCAGTGGGTCAGGCACACACGTACGAAGGATTTTAGCAGAGCCCTCTTCAATGTGAACCGTCTTTGGCAGGAATGGAATTTCGAGAATACCTCGCTATCCATGCTATGTGCAGCTTCACCTTATTAGCGAGTAGATCGTCGCATCTTGCAGCTGTGTTGCGCCGCATGGGGTCAGGAGTAGTAGTAGTAGTAGTAGTAGTAGTAGTAGTAGTAGTAGTAGTAGTAGTAGTAGTAGTAGTAGTAGTAGTAGTAGTAGTAGTAGTAGTAGTAGTAGTAGTAGTAGTAGTAGTAGTAGTGGAGTTCCCAGATTCAGGCCACCGATTGCTGGAGACCGAGCCCGAGGCACGACGACTTTGGCGCGATCAGTTCATACAGGCCTGGCATGCTTTGGCTTGAGGGTACACAGAGTACACGATGTCTCTGAGTTTTTGCATGTTTTTCTTGCAAGCTTTGACACGCCCACAGACACACCCCCCCCCCCCCCCGGGACCAACGGAGGTCAACGCCGCGGATACAGTCTCTGAGCTGCGATTTGGAGCACCTTTGCCACGTTCTCGGGCCACCCTCGGGCCACCCAAGGCCTTCAGACTGCAGATGGTGGCTCAGGCCAGCAACCTACACATGGCGCAGGCTGGGTCCCGGCCATGGCTGGGTACTAGTAGGGCAGCTTGAACGGCATGCCGCGGATATAGAACAGCACGCCCAACCCTTGAGTGGCAAGAAGCCTCTCGCTAGTCTCTGTCGCGCCCTTGCGGTGCTTCCATAAATGATGCCAACCGAGGAAGCGAGTGAGTTGTGGAAGTACAGAGACACAAAAAGACCTCTCGAAGTCCTGGGTCGTTCTTTGATCGAATCAACTCCTTGTGACCGCATTGGCACCTCTTGCATGAAGTCCAACATTCAGCAGTTCAACAGCAGACGGACGTGTCATCTTGTGGAAGTAGCCTGCAGGCCTGTCTGCTTTCCGGATTCTGCGCTTCGTTCTGGTAGGAGTCATGTCACCCTTGAGGTCCTCCTGCTAGAAGATGGGCGCGCTGGCCAGCTCATCGAAGGAGTCCCGCCGCTTCCACGCACTGGCAGGAACATGGTCGGTGAGGTTGCTGCCATCTGTTGTTGCGCAATGTTGCGCAGATGGGCCGTTGCAGGGGTCTTCCGAGGTCAACAGGCAAGCCATAATGTTGTTCAATGAGCTGTGGGCAGAAGTGTTGGTGATACTTCGTGTCGCTACCGTGGTGTAGCAAGCAGAGACCGCATCGCATGCACGAGGTTGATCAAGTTTCGTACGCCAGACTATGGGCCCTTGCTGCAGCTGTCAGCGGCGCAGCTCAAGGATCGGAACTGGATAGCCAGAGAGAGAAGGAGCACAGAAAGAATAGAAAAGCGAGCGAGAAACAGAAAAAGAAAGCACGTCGGAGAGCATTGCTTTTATTTGGCCCCCGAGTCAGAAGTAGGCATGAGGGCAGAGGCAACTGAGGCGAAGCGGTGCATAAACTCTTTTCCCAACTGCGAAATGGAAAATTCGGGGTGTTGGGAAATGCTTCTGGGCCGACAGGTGGAGCCTGTCGTCCTTACACGTCGTGGCCGATCAGTGCACTCTGCCAACAAGTAGAAATAGGCCTCTCGTGCCGGAGCCACACTGCGTACCATGTTGCAGGGAAAGTTTCGGGCCAGTAGGGGGACCCAGGCAGCTGAGTGCGGGAGGCAAAGGCGCCAGGCGTTTGCAAGTGTAGTGGTGAGAGGATCAAGGATGATCAAGGGTTGCAAAGCTTGGGGCGCACTGAGGGGAGGGTTCTCGCAGGCCCTGAAGCGGTTGCCCGGGGGCTTTACCCCCCAGGAAAGAAAGGGAGAAAGGAAGAGAGAGAGAGGGAAGATGCCCCGGTAAGGAGAACACTCTTCCTCAGTTTGGGGGTCAGGGGATGTGTGGTATCGGGGGAGCTTTCTCACTGTTTTCGAAAAAAGGGGGCAGCTTTTCCCACTCGGGGGAAGCAAGTCGAAGTTTCACGATGGACGTGCGACTGGGCGCGCCTCGGCACGAAGGGGTTTTTGTGGCCCCCCCATGCCCTGCACAAGAAGAAGCAGAAGCAGAAGAAGAAGAAGAAGAAGAAGAAGAAGAAGAAGAAGAAGAAGAAGAAGAAGAAGAAGAAGAAGAAGAGGAACGGTGCATTTCGCCTTTGCGCTGGCTAGAAGAAGAGGAAAGAGAAAACTGAGCGCCAAAACCGGGGCATGGAGCACCCTGATGCCCACTTAGCTCAGTCAGCACTGGAAAGCAGGACAAGAAGCACTTGCTGGGGCGCTTGCTGGATCCCCCGGATGCTGCGGAGGTTCCGAGGCCCTTTCTAGAGCCGAAGACGTGCCACTGAACCTCCACAGGCCATGCGCCGGCCGGCAACCACCCGGGCAGCATTCAGCCACCTGGCGAACGTTGGTGAGAGTTGGGCTATGCCTTTGCGTCGTGTAACGCAATGTTTATTGGTGCAGCCAGATCAGGGAGGCAAGTGTCTGACGACATGCTGCCAGGCTCAGTGCCACGTTTGGGCGGCCGGCGCCACTTGGCCACGACCTGAGAGCTGGCGAAAGTGGCAGATGCCAAGCCCAGAGGTGTTATCCCATCTGCTTCCGTCTTGTGTCAAAATGTCATCAAAAATCCTTTAATTGCAGGTGACTGCAAGCCTGGCGGCTGTGATGTGCAGGCCATTGGTCTGTCGTGGGACTCAGAGGCTACTATAGACGGACGGGTGGGCTCCAGCGATCAGCGCCCAGCTTGCTTGAGTGTGTCAGTAAGAGCGGACTCGCTTGGAATCTTGCCAGGGGAATGGCAGTCTTTCCGATGTCCCCTGGACAGTTCGCAGGCGCAGCAGAAGCTTGGGCAGTATGTTGCAGCATGTTGAGAAGCCAGCAACAGCCCGCAATAGCCCGCGCATCCGAGCTGCTGATTTCCACGGGCTCACGTGTGCCACGCAAAGACGCATTCAGCATCGTCCTGCTTCTTGAGGCTCTCCAGTTCGACGGCACGCGCCTGAAAGTCCGCTGCCGCTGCCAAGGCACAGGAGACCCGAAGAAGCACGTTTCAAGTCCGACAAGGGCTGCTACGTCCATTGTTTTGTGCTGTTGTACTGACCGCATCAGAGAATTTTGTGAGGCTGTTGGTTCCTGCGTGTGGGAGACGTTGAGGAGAGGCATCTTGCTGGTAAATGACAAGCACGCAGCAGCAGGAACCATGCAAGAAACACGGACAAGCACGCATCAAGAGCATGGAAGCGCCGAGGTTCGGTTCTTGTCTCGTGGCGCTGGTCCAGCTGTGCCAGAGCATCCTGAGACACCTTTCTCCCCTCACTCACTGGACTTCCGGGCGTAGTGTCGACATGCTAGGCGCAGCACGATCTAGTGGGCGTGACCGACTGCAGCTGAAGTTGGGGCTGCATCGGCATGTCCACGGAGTAGTGGAGGAACAGCATGGTGTCATGCATCGTTGGGTCAGACAAAACGGCTTTGACTTCCATTGCAAAAGCGGCTCCGTGATTGACTTCCAGCCATCCGAGTTTGCTGAATCTGTTGACAAGTGCTGCGTTTTCCCTGGCAGGCGTGGGCTGCAAGTGCAAGGCGACGTTGTGCTCCGGAAGCGGCTGCTCAGGTGGACTCTTATAGAAGCCCCGAAAATAGCGACCTCAGGGCATGGTGAGCGTGTTCTCGCTTGCAATCGCTTTGCACATGCACATATGTAAAGCAGGCAGTCGCTGCTCTTTCAGGCTGCGCTTCAACACAACATCACACTCATCCAGGCGAAGCTGCATACCGAGAAGGCAAAGTCGGCTGCTTCTTGTGAGATGTTGAGACTCTGGAGTGGTCGGAGACAGGCTGCGCATCGCTCCACAGAGACGGAGCTGCAGCATGTGGAGGCGCCCAGGGAGGGGTCGTGCCCGAGGGCTGCGTCGCCTGCATGTTGTAAGCGAATAACCAGGATTGTCATGTCACTTCTGGCTGCTTACACAGACGAAGTCGTACCAACAGGAAGGCCGATCTTGTCAAGGCTTGCTTGTTGCTTGTTTAGGTCGAGAATACGGTGCACTTCTGCCTGGCCATGTGTGCATGATCTGGCTGATGCTGTGCGTAGCAGTGTCATTTCAGCATATTTCAGCTATATTAGGGCAGATTTGGGTGATTTTCTTGCCGTCATGCGGAGAAGGTCAGAGCAATGGCATCACAGCCGGCAGACATGTCAAGAAGCAGCATACGCATGTTACGCTCAGGGGTAGACTTTTCTACTCTCCCTTTCCTTATGCAAAGATGGCCGTGAGTGAGTCATTACAGAAATGCCGATGTGGCTGCATTAGGTCAGCCTCTGCATGCATTGCAGGGGCACCTTTCTTTCGCATGTGAGGTAGGCTGGGCGTGTGCTTTGATTATCAGTGATCGCATTGCTTCTGTCAAGTTTTGCCTGAGCAGTGGCACCATTGCATGTAGATGTGGGCGTATATAGGCTTTCGCGTGCCAGGTTCGCAATGCACAGCTGGATGTAGCACGTCAACTTCAATTAACTTCAAAGACTTCTATTATCTGTTGGACAACGGCGCCCATGATTTTGTCAGTCCAGGTATCGAGGGTGCAATCGTGAATTCGCTATATATCGCAATGCTGATGTTCTAAGGATTGAAAAGTTTCCTCTGTGTTTTTAAGTGAGGATTTATGGCTGAGCCCCGAGGCTTGAGCGACCTGTCCAAGCACATCGAAGCCCTGGCCTCGCAGAACTTGGCGATGCGGAAAGAGATTGAGAAGCTGTGGCCCAGCTTGAAGAGATGAAGAGATCACTCGGGTTTTTAGCCCTTCTGATGTTACGGGTGCTGATTCGCATATGGATGCTCTTCCTCTTCGCAGGACAGGGAAGCTCAATTTGCAGCATGCTGAAGACCAGCGCCCCTTGGCGGGATAGGGCCGGGAGTCCCTGCTTCAGGCCCCTGCTTCGCTCTGCTTCGCTGCCCGAAGGCCCCGTAGTTTAAAAAAGCCCTCAAGACCAAGACCCGCATGGGTAATCACGTGTTGATTGCTGGTAAATCCCTGATTCCTCAAGCTCTCCAAAGTCGCGCGAAGCAGCTTTGCTAGGAATGGAGATGGTGGGCGTTGTCCCAGATGCAATCAAAGAGATGGAGGCAGACTTCATGCTTGGATGTGTTTGGGTTGCGTGGGTGCAGTGAGCAAGGTGGCGACCTGGCCCCTGCGCATCCAGGAATAGGAATGATGCTACTCCAGGGCCCTAAATCCTTCATGGGTGGCAAAAAAAATTCCTTCATGGACTGGGGGCCCTGAACTGCAAACAAATAGGTCCTCTAACCAAAAGCCTGGAATCCCGAAATGCCCCGAAGCACCCAAGCGCACCTGGAGTTTCCAGCACCGTTTGCTTTGAACTGGCAGGTGGAGCGCAAGCCGCCACCTTTGCCGCAGGCTTTCCTGCTTTAATCGATGCCTTTGGATATCATGGAACTGTGCTTCGAATACCTTTGAGATGTGCTTAGGCGCTGCGCATGTGACCTTGATATCGGCTGTTGTCAACAAGGCTGAATAGGAGCAGTTGCTGCAAGGTTGAGCCGCCACCGAAGATCTCGACCAAGTTTCAGCAGGAGGCAGAGGCGGGCTGGGGCTTCCGCAGACACAGGGGTTTCATCGTTGCATGTTCTGTTTTATGGTGTAATATTGATGCCGTACTCGATGACAAATTACGGGCTTCATATCCCATTATTTCTAAGAAGAGAGCGGCGTGAATAGGAAATGCATGCATTCACATGTATTGAATGTATTATAACTTACGATTCGGGGCCTTTAATGCTTGCGTTTACATCTTCTATCTTCTTATTTTGGGAGAGTTCGAGCACTGCTCCCCCATTCCCCTTCACTGTTGGAATGCAACGTCATGTCGCTTTAAACCTTTAGGATGTCCAGCTTGAGACAGCTCTGCTGAAGCCGGCGGTTCATCGGCAGGCTCTCCAGAACCAGCTGTCTTGGCACTTGGACGAGCACACGGTCACCTCGACATGGGCCCCTTGCCGGCTTGGATGCGTGTCAGAGAAGCCTTCAATGTTGGGGATCAGGTTTTAGGGGCCAGGAAGGACTCGAACAAGCCACTGCCTTTATCAGTTACTTGTGCAGTGCATCGTGCAACTACGCCCCTGTGCGAGGTGAAGAGCCTGAAGGCCTTCCGCAATTGCCTTGCGAGACATTCAGGGTGTTGTAGCTTCTCTAGATGACCCAGTACATGCAATCTGCAAATCAGCAGGTTTTCAACAAACCAACGCAAAAGCAGCAAGGCACGAAGAATTCATGAAATTCACGGTCAGGGGGCTGGCGGCATGCTGGGAGCTGCGCGCTTGGGCCAACTGCCCCTTGCCCAAGCATGGCCTCCCGAAGTCGAAGTCCAGACGCTCATTGACGCCCATTGACTCCCAGTGGTCCCAAGTGGATCGGTTTCCGTAAACTTCCCCGCTTGCGTGAATGCAGCGATTCAGACCCTAGCAACTGCGTTGCAGATGTTGCATGTGCGTCAGTCAGTGCAGAGGCTCATCATTCCACATGCTTCTGCCGTGCTTGGGCGTAGGATATGCAAACACGTAGCACGAGGGTTCCTGTTCAGTGGTTGGGATCACGCCTGTCCCATTTTTCATATTGATGTAGCTCTTGCTTTGAACTCCCCGGGCACATGTGGCAGTCACGTGACAGCTGCTCACGCTTGGCAGAAAGCGACCGCCATCACATTCTCCAGAACACGCGCCTCTGAAAAGCCGCTCGGGTAAGATTTAGGCAGTTGTGATTTACATGTATATACGTTCCAAAGCGCAGCGCTGGAGTATCTTCTCTGCAAAAGACCAAACTTGGTCGTTCACCTAGACCTAGACCTCCTAGACTAAGTGCGACTTTCTTCCCACGGAACAAACAGACAAGGCGTGCAAGAGTTTTGTCACTGGTTCTCCGTCCTGGGCTGTGTCCGGCGGAAGAAGGATGAGCCGATGATTAGGGCCTTTGCAAATAGCCCCTTGGCGAAGACGTGTGCCCAATTTGCTTTAGGTCGTGGATTCCTCAGTGGAACTGGTCGTCTGAGTGTGGCAACTGTGTAGATGCTTCTCGCGCGCCCCCCCCTGTTCCTTGCGGATGATTTAAGAAATTTAGGCTCCCTCTTCAAGTCCCTCTGCACCTTGGCCATCATGGCCAACACCGTGTATCTGGGTGTGGCTGCGGACTCGGCGGTGAGGACGAGCAACTCGGACCCTCGTAAGTTCAGCATGGAACGTCATGGAACATGCCACGGCATCCCTTAACTGAAGTGTGGTGACCTGAAATCTGCTACGCCTAAATTCAAACCCGCTTCCAGGAAGGGGAACAGTCCCAAGGCCCAAAACATCAAACGCTGTCCCCTTGCCATATCTGATATGACGTGCGTTGAGTGTGCAAGTGGTAGTCCTTGACACATGTGCACTGCCAGCATACACTGGGGTGGTTGCTCGCGCGGGTGGTGGGGGCATATCCGGGGGTAGCACGGAAACCCCAAAACCGGACAGCTTTCCTGCTCGAGGCTACGACCGCCTCCTGGGTAAGGAGGTCTCTAGCCTGGACCGTACGCCGGAGATCTGCTTTACGGCCCGACGGGGAAGCAAGGATAGCCAAGGTAGCCGAGGAATTCGGGTTCCGCATCTTTACCATGGCTGTTTTTTCTACCAGTTGCAAGTGCAAATCCTTCGGTTTCATAATGGTAGTTTGTTGCGGCGACGTGTCACAGGATTTGTGTGCTTTGCGGGCTTAACTTGCTTCGTTTGTGCTGTCTTGCACCCGGCAGGTCTGGTTCTCGGCCGAACTCTTGGTGAACTGCTTGGGCTTCGGCTGGAGTTGCTTGATGCCATGAGTTCTGACTCTTGAATTCTACTAGAGCTTCAAAATTTCTGATGCAGGCTTCTGGACGGGGTCGCACCGACTCTTTAACCTCTTCGATGTGGTCCTTGTGACCAACTCGAAGCTCGGATGACAGTTTTTGTTTTTGTCGGCTCGGGCAGCTGGGCGTAGGCGATGGGCGTTGTGGGAGAGGGGCAATATCGAGGGTTTCTTTCAGTCACTCTGTTTGATTTTCTGGTCCCCCCGGTGCGATTCCCGTGCCCCCGTCGTTTTCTGGTGCCGCCGCATCGGTGCCCTGGGTCCCGCGTCCGCTGGCATGTTAGGCCAAGCCAAAGCCGAGCCGTGTTTGCAAAGGCCGGCATCTGATGAAGAGGTTCTTTGCGCAAGGAAGAGCTTGCGTGGGTTGAGTTTGGTTGCCGACAGGCCCGAGTCAGGCATACGCTGTTGGGTACAGACATGAACCTTTTCAACTTCATAGGAAAATAAAAGGACTGCTTTGAAGTTTCGAGTAGGAAAAATCTGAAAAAAAAGAGTTCTGGTGGGTTCTATGTCAATAGTTGAAATACTGACAAAGCTCCTCTGGAAAATGAGAAAGTTCAGATTTTTCGATTGCAAAAGAAGGTTTTGCTCACCTGTATAGTTGACTTTTGGCTGCAGGGCTGTCTTTGCGTTTTTCCACGGCTGCTTGCCCAGGATAGTGGAGCTGACTCTGCAGGACAGCATACAAAATTGGCCCGGGTCTTACCACGCATGCAGATGCATGATGAAGTTGGGAGTTCACTACAAGCCATCATAAGCCATCCCGGCCTGACTTGGCACCGTGCGAATTCTGGATGTGTAAAACCACGGAAGTCTGCTGCATATCATCAGTCTTCCTTTCTCCTGTGTGATTCTTGCATGCCTTTTGAAATTGGCCTGCTGGTAAATACCAGCTCCAACATGCAGGACAGCCCTTTGAACTTGCGTAGCCATCCTGCGGAAGCGAGACGAACGATAGTTGCGCTGATCTTGATTTGTAGTGATTCATCACGTAGTGATGGCTATGCCGAGTGCTTTGCTGAGGTCCTTTCTGCGCATCTTCAGAGTGTTCCGACTGGTGCGAGTAGTGCGGCTGGTGCGGACACTGCGCAGTGCCCGAGTTGAAGATGGGCTGAGTCAAGACATGCCGCTCAGCCAAGTGTTGGTTTGTTCACGAAGCCGAAACATGCATGAGGTCTGCGAAGCTTGCGGACCATGCTTTTCTCGATCATTTCGCAACTGGGCGATTTACAGAGTCGTGACTAGGGCCCTTGTTTCCGGAGAACCATTCGACCATTCGAGCCTAGGTCCATTGGTGCTCTGTTCTGGGCGTTTGTCATGCTTCTGCTGACCATGTTCATGTTCCTGGTCTCATATCTGGTCATCGCGTTGCAGCTCACGAACTTGGAACATGTGTCAGATGACCTTCGGATGCTACTTCTTGCTGCTGCCTGCAAGGTTTAGCATAATCTTTGGCAATGGTGTCTCAGTTTATTTCGACCATGTGGACGTGAACAACCTAGACAAGGCCAGGAGGAGGAGCACGCATCATCCGCGTTGAAAGGCAGTCTGCAGGTTGGCCAACGCATTGCCTATAGCACAGGCCTGTGATTTCTTACCGTAAGATGCTTACCAGGTGAGGCAAAACAAACCATGAAGCAACAACCGCAGTTCCGGCCATCCAGGGTCAGGTTCGCAGCAGCTAAGCCAAAAAGCCGCAAAGCCCGATTGTCACAGAATTGACAGCCTCACAAGCACTCTCTATCTCTCTCTGCCTTTTGCTCCCTTTGTGGAAGGTGGCCGAGGCCCAGAGGGTGTTTGCACCTTGTCCAACATGTGCGTATCACATAGCTATGAGCTCAAGGCATCTGGCACGAGAGAGAGAGGGAGAGAGAGAGAGAGAGAGCGAGTTCATCAAGTTCTTCGGCCAGAAGCTGGGTGAGACGCGATGGAAAGAGGGATTGCCTTGAACGAGTGTACCCATGGTGTGTCGTATGAAGTTGTTGTTCGGCCTATATGCTACCAACTTGGCTGTGCTGGCCAAGCATGCATGCGTTTTTCGTGGGCTTCGACGGCCAAATCAGGCCTCGTCCGCGTAATGCACAATAGAGGACCTCCCGGAAGATCGCGAAGATCGCAGTCTCAGGGAGGTCTGATACGGTGGCCAGGCGCAGCACCCGCAGAGGAGCAGGAAAGGTAGGAGGAGGAGCTCAGGGAGCCCACGCAAGGAAATGACGAACTGGAGGAGGTCATAGAAGACGAGGAGGAAATCTTCCAAAGGCTCCTGGACGGACTAGCCAGACTACGTCAGCAAGAACGAGAACCGGGCGAGCAAGAGGGGGCGGAGCACGATGAGCAGGGCCTGCTTCACACACGAGGGGGACGAGCAGGGCATGAACAACGCAGGCCGCAGGAGGAAGTGGTGGAGGAGACAGAAGGAGCGCAACGACAGTCGCGACGAGAACCCGCAGAAAACTCAAGGGAGGACGGAGCCGAACGAGGGGGGCCAGCGGAAGCCGCGGACGACCACGCCGCCAACCTGGACGAGCTCGTGGCGCAATATGATCGAGAACCAGCAGAGGAGCAGCTCGTCGAGGAGTGGGAGGAGGACCAAGCAAGAGAGGAAGCGTGGATACAACACACCATCGACGAGTGCCTGGCAGAGACCTCGAGTACGACGAGAAGATGGTGAACCAGAAGGGGCCCACGAGAAGGGGGCCTACTACAAGCGGCGAGTGACGGCTCTCCTCCATGTCGTTGGAATCGTTGTGCTCGCCGTTCCCCGTGAGGCCGTTGGGGTGGTTGTTCTCGTCCTCGTCGTGGCTTGCCCCCCAATCCAACTGTCTGCCCCCCTCCGTTCTCTCGCTGCACCCAAATGGCCCACTTCCCCTTTGCATGGCCTCGACTCGCTGTTGTTCCCTTGCTTCTGCTCTGGCCCCCGCTTGTGGGTGCCTCCACTCCTCCAGCTGCTCCACCAGCCTGCGGTAGTTAAAGGGGCGCTGCTCCGTCTCGGTGTCCAGGACGCAGTTCGGCCACGGTCGTCTGTCTCCCAGTAGTTCTTGCCAAATCCCTCTTCGTCCAGACGGCAAGGGGCCCCCTTCGAAGGGCTCCTGCGTGGCCCCCCTGCCTGCCGGTTCCTCCGTCGCATTGGCGAGCTGGTACTCTTTGCCTCAGTCTCCGTGGTTTCCGTCATCGTCTGCTCCTGGTGGTCTGTGGGCGTGGTGGGCTCGTGGTGGTCCAGGTGGTCCCCATGTGGCCGGTGCCCTTTCTTAGGGGGGGTGCCTTCGCTGTGTAGAAGAAGAAGAAGAAAAAGAATAAAAGAGAGGGAGAGAGACGAGAAGGAGAAGGAGAATGAGAAGAATAATAAGAAAAAGCGTTCACTCAGGGGGTTAAGTGCATTGGAAGGAAGGAAGGAAGTGAGAGAACGCAGGAAGGGAGGGAAGCAAGGAAGGAAGGGAAGGAAGGAAGAGCGAAGCAGATAGCTCTCGAATAATTTCGAACAGCATGCATGTGAGAGTAGCTCGGATGTCTGATGGAGTGATGGCGTTTCGCGGAAGTTGAGATCCGGCTGAGGCATACTTTGGAGGAATTTACGAGACGCTTGCTGCTGGTCATTGAACCTGGTTGAATCTTGAGTATATGTGCTTGAGTGTCTCATCGGTGATTTCGTTTTGGCCCATCACCTGTCCTGCTGATGAAGGTTAGTCTCTTCTGCTCGGTGTCTGGGGGCAACGACTGGATGACCTATGGGGAGGTCCTTCGGCTTGGGCTGCTCGGCATTGCCTGCCTTTTTGCTGAGTCGTTTTGCATGAACAATTGTTTAAACGATTTGGGGTCTTGTTTGAGGCCTGGCGAAGTGTATTTTACGCTTTTTGCCGTGCCCTTAGTGCCAACCGCAATTGAGTCAGCCTCTGCACCTCATTGGCTGACTTTGCCCGCTGCCACTGGCAACAACAGCGGAATGCTGAGGTGTTCTATGTCTTCTTCACATTGGTTGGACTCTTGAATGTTGTCACCGGTGGCCCGGACAGTCCTTTAGAGATTTAAGGGGTGCTCATCGGTGTGGCTTCTTTCATGGAAGACAGAGGTCAGGACATGTATAACGGAAGCCCTAGAACTTCCCAAAGCCAGCTAGCGGCCCGACCACTTCAGTTCGGACATATCAAGCTGCTTCAATAAGGCATTTTCGTCGACTCGGCCGTGTGCACGAGAACAGAGGACGAGGTGAGTCTCCGGGGTTGACAGCTGCAAAGTGTCTCTGCGGCGGGACAATTAAGGCGGCCGTGCACATAGCTTGAAGTGGCATTGGAAGCTTACATCTGGCAAATTGTTTTGCATGAAGGGAACAACAAACGCAACCGCTCGTAGTTTCGGCAGAGCATGGAAAAGCAGCCTCGTGTGATATGTATGGCGCAACCCGGGTTGGTGCGTGCGGAGGTCGTGGAAAGTTTCACTGAGGAGCAAAAGCGTCTGTGCAGAGTCTTGGCTTGACCTGTTTAGCTAACCGAAACTTGATATGTTTTGAAGCTTGTCTGGATCAGAGTGCGCGAATTTGGTACGAGATTGCAATACGGCACTCAAGATTCTCTTATGTTCTCTTGCGCAAGCTCTGTATTCAACGCGAATCGCACTCAAAGGCGAAATGCGCCGAATCTTTGCATCCGCTGACATGGACGGGCTGCGTGCTCAGCGTGAAATTGTTAGGTTTTCACGCTTGTCGGCAGTTGCCCTTAAATGCGACTGAGGAACGGCAGCATCACCTTCGAGGACGGGTTCCAACTTGCAGGAGGTGTTTTGAGCACAGGGCCCCCGCTTCGGACTTGCTCGTGCTGAGTTGTAGAACTACCGAGGTCCAGATCGGCATCTTGCAAGCAGCATTGTGCTTGCGTTGTTGCGGAGGAGTTCTGCGATCGCGTGGAGGATCCCTGGGTACGGCCCCCAGCCCAAGTGACATGGTCAATGTGATTTTGGCCATCCGGGGCGTCAAGCTTTCGTATTCGAGACATTTCGAGACCATGGGAGAACGTGTGGTTGCTTGCCTGTCTGACACATCTGCCCACACAGGTGCAGGCATTCCTCTCTGGCTTGGACATCGATATCTCTGATGCGCGGATTGTCTTCACACTGCTGGATGTGGAGACTCCGATTTCCCAAGTGTGAATTCCGGTCTTCTCTTGCTCCTTGTGTTCTGTCGGCATGCGTGCGAACGCTGCTGCTAGTGCCACATCGTACGTCTTAGTCCGGCAAAGAGATTCACTTCGCTTCAATGCGGGTCTCCCAAAATGTGCAAGATCGCTCAATGCTATTCGGGGTGCCGTGTTTGTTAAGGTGCAGGCTTTGGTGTATTGCTTTTCTGCGGCTCTGCGCATCAGCACCGAAGGACGGAAGCGGGTCTCTGACGGTGGAGGACGACTTTCCCCTGAGATAAGTTGCACGAATCCGACATAAGGACATGCACAGGAGATGTTTCTGGAAAGAGTGTCTTTGTGGGTGCTAGTCCCTGTTAGTCTGCGAGTTCACGCTTGTTCGTGCTGTGTGCAGCAAACCCGGTGCATTTGGCTACATGTGCCTGAAGGAGTTTGTCGATGGTGCAATGAAGCTGAAGGGTCCGGCCAAGGGAATCGAAACTCTGCTAATGTCCAAATAAAGCACTGTCTGCGCCATAGCGGCCGGATGAGCGTGCCGGGATGTGTCTTTGGAAAGAGAAGCAATCAATCACATGGAGCTGCATGCAAGTCAGAGTTGAGCGCGCAACTCTCCAGCAATCTCGAGAGCCAGAGCTATCTAGCGAAGCACAGTCGTTCTGCATCATCAGATGTTTCAAGATGACGCAGAATGACACAGACAGGCTTCAAACCTCACATGCTGGACAGATCTGGACAGAAGCATCAGCCCGTGTGCAGTGAACTCATTCTGACGTCTGTCATCGACGAGGTTTGCAAAGAGACAGGCGACATGCCATCAAACGAATGAGGTTGATTCCGAGCATGTGAGACATTGGACAAAGACCCCACGGAGGCAAAGTACTGTGAGTCTGCTAAGGACATGCTCGCGGTGATGTTCGACCTTGTCCGATACAGCTTGAGGCCTCAAGGCAGGAATAGCTTTGGCACACCTTGATCCCGCTGCGCATGGAATACGCCGAGCCTTACTTAATGAGTCGCCGAGCAGCCCCACTTTGGAACGCCTTGTGGCTGACAACGTGGCGCAACCAACAATTTCAAGTCATGACGGTATAGTACTGTAGGGTAACAGTATAGTAGGGTTGTCACGCACTTCGTTTCAGCTCTGGCGTGCTTTGTGTCTGTCGGTCCATGCGTTCATGCCCCCCGTCCGGCTCCAGTATTGCGAGGCTGGAGCAAGGCCTTTCTTGCAAGACAGAAGCCAAGGTTCTCCGACTTGTGTAACTTCCTCGAGGAGCAAACGAGCCAGATTAAGGACCAGCGAGCCGTCCATGAAATCGCCGATAGGCATGCACCTCCTTCCTTCTCGCCGGAGGCTGAATATCCGAGCCAGAGAACGAAGTTGAAGTTTATGTTAGGATTTTCCTTGCACCAGTCTTTGCTGGGACCTAGCGGCACAGAGGCAGCACTTTAAAGTCGCTGCAGGATCTCGTGAGCCCCTCCAGTGCGCACGGGCCAACCCGATACAGGAGCCTGGGAGCTTGTCATGGCCAAACCTCAAAGTTTAGGGTGGGCGGGTTTAGGCCGCAAGGGACCCACAGGGGTCCGGATGCAATGAAAGGGTGCAATGGTTCGCCAGGGGTTTTGGAACTTGCGCTTTGGGGTCTGCTTTGGCTTTCAGCGTTCGGGTTACAAGGTTTTCGAGCTTCCTACATCCTACGTTTCCTGATCTGGGGCCTTTCGTTTTCCCATTGGGACCCTCCTGGTTCTCCGATCTTAATCTGGCTCCTTTTTTGGGATGACTTCTCTCTGAGAAGAAAAGGCAAGGAACACCTTCCGGAACAACTAATCGACAGGAACAAGGAGAGGGAGTGAGACGCGTGTTCCCTGTTTTTCTCTCCCTTCAGTGTTCTTTTGTTCGCCTTCGTGTTTTCATTTTGGAATCCCAATCTTTTCAGATCTCTTTGGGACTGGACATGGGGGAACAAGCCCGCAAGTTTATGAAAAACAAGAATCCAACCACGTGTTTTTTAGGTTTATGCTGCTCTTTGTGCCGATACGTCTTGGCAGCATTTTGATCCTTCCTGCTTTTGATCCTATATGCGTGTTCTTAACTGGACAAGCAAATGGAGAGACAAAGGTCGGGTATCGGCATGCGATACTCGTACCGGAGCTTCGTGTGGCAGGCACTGCAAATAATGGACACAGGCGAGGGAAACAACATGAAAACACCAGTTCCGTTCAACACACCAAAAGAAGCTCACGAACAAAGTGCAACCCTGCTTTGTCACTTGCCTTGCGTTATCTTGCGCGATTGCTTCTGCTTGCTATTTGCTATCTTCCTTGATGTTTCAAGGAGCAAGAGAAAATGTATAAAGAACGAGCTGTTGAAAGAGAGTGAGAGAGATACAAGGAACAGACCACCTTCGACATTTTTCACCTTTTCATCGTCCATCTTTGATCTCGGGTCCAGCTCTTCTGTTCTCGTCCTGCCATCTTGCTTTTGCATGTTTTTTTTTACAGTTGAGTGGGCCTTTCTCTCACCCTCACCCTTCCTTTTCTTGTTTGCTCTCTCATTCAGGGAAACACGGGAACAAGACCACACACAATGAAAGAGCCAAAGGTCATGTCCCCACATGTTCACTCCCAATCTTTCTGTTCTCTTCTCTTACCTACTGCCTCCTGTTGTCAGGAAGGTCTGCCAATGGAGAGGCTTTCCTTCTCCTCCTCTTTTCGAACCTTTAAAATCACGAGCCTTGACCCCTGTACAGTAGTTTCTCGTTCCGGATAGAAACCCATCTTTTGAAAGACAGCTGTCCGCAACTTTTGAGAAAATCTTAAGCCTAAAAACCGCATCACAAGCAACTCCTCTGTTTTGAAGATATCAAGTCGTGATCGCTGTGCATTTAATCATCATTTCTTGTGAACAGACAAGTTGCAGGCACAGTTCTCCATAAGGCTTTGGGAAAATATCATCCCCAAAAGGGAGGGGCGGGTTCCATCCCCCTCTTCTTTGCTCCCCCCTTTTCTTTTCTCTTCATTCCTTTCATTCAAGAAGCTCAAACGATGAGAGGAAAGGACACAGGCGGGAAAGGAAGGGCAAGTCCTCTCCCTACCTCGTTACTGTATGTAGGGTCGTTCCTCTCCTTGTCTTATCATCGTCATGCAACCTGTAACTGATAGAATCGAGGATGTCGCACATCTGAGTGCCTCAGAAGCTGTCCTTCCTTAATTGCTTGTAGGTGGCGATGTGGGCGTGGCTGTCACCACAAAGTAGCTGTCGGTTCTGCAAGTGGAAAACGAGCATGGCACATGAATGGTCATTATGTACGGGCCACGAGGCAGGATAAGTATACAGTGATGCAGTTGGTGCAGTAGGTCGGCATTCACGCAAGAATAGCTGGTGTGCATGCATTGTTTTCAAGACTCTTCTGTCTAGTCAACAAAAAGGAATCATCACAAGGAACAGGCCACGTGATACGCAAAGGCTCTTGCCACGTATGTCTGGTTGCGATGCCTCAGATGTCAGAGTTCAGATTATTTCGATTACATAGCTCAGCCTTCTTGGTGTACAGATGTTCACAGGTTTAACTTCCAAGGTTGCTAGCTTCTCTTGAAGCTCGAGTTTTGGCATGGCATCTGCGAAAACAAGTCATATTTGTAACACGGCTTCCATAAGTGAGATGGAGGAGGCCATGGCAGAAATACTGCATTTCGCGGAAGAAGCATGAATCAAAGGATAGCTGACCAGTAAGTCGGTTAATTCCATTGATTCACGCGCCTCTCGGAAGAGTTGGTCAAGTTAATCAATAAGAACTAGAAGGTACAGTAGCTCTTTAGATTTAGGTCCAGCACCAGAATGTAATTATGTGTGTCTGCTGGTCACAGAATGCACACCGCCATACATCGCTACCTCCATAGGTCCCTATAGAGTTGTTGGGGGCCAATGTCTATTTCAGGGTCGGCCATGGCTTTCTGGTTTGGAGGCACCCTGAAACCTGAACCCCACCAAGTAAGTTTGCTCTAGGCCGAACATGGCCGAACAAGAAAGTCGGTTTTCATAACGCAGACTTTGTTTGGCACTGGTGCGAAAGGATCCTTGAGTTTGCGGCCATGGGTTGGCCCAGCCTTGGAACTCAACTGCACGTGTCGTGTTTCCCACTGAACAAGCAGAATCAACCAAAACAGAAGTGTCCCACAGTCGTCCATTGCATGGCTTGTCTTTCCCGATATGCCTTCAGTCTTCAGTCAGATTTGCGTACAGACTTGTGTTCCACCTTTGTGGTATCCCGAAAAGGATTGACTTATTCAATGCGTGTTCCGATTCCGATTGGTGCAGCTCTTGACCTGCCAACACTTGAATTGCTCTGGCCGTTTACGACTTGCTTCGCGAATCCGACTTCGCCCTGCAGCCGTGACTGTGGCTGATTCGCCTATGCACCTCACATCACTTTGTAGAATTGGTGCCTGCAAGGACGGCGGAACAGGAGCTCGCTCATCTCTCGCTGCTCAGCTTGATTGGAGGCCCAAAGGTACAAAGACTCAGTGCAGTGCTGCATGTGACCAGCCTGCAAGTCGAACGCTGGCTGCGCATGTGTCGCTTCAATGTGCGAACTGCTTCCGTGAGCATCTAGGTACCCAAGCCGTTACCGAAGAATCGCGCATTCAATGTGCACTCTTTGACCATGGAAGCCGAGGCACATCACGAACCGAAAGATGCAAGAAGTGACAATGCCTAGCTTGAGCCGCCACTTTGATTGCGATTAACCTTCGGCTGACATGTTCGGAACCAGCAGAGCAGAGGCAAGGCCTGTCCTGACTCTTTCATAGCCTCGCACCAAACTCACCTGCGATGAGATTGCTTTGCAGCGTTTGGACTCGAGAAGGTATGTGTCTAATTGCTTTGCCGACCATTCGAAGCTCCAGGAGTTCTTGCGCTTGCGCTCAGGCATTGAACAAGCAGCAGATGCAATCGAGGATGTCGTGCTGCCATGTGCCGTGAAATCATGAAGCTAGGCAATGCACCATCTGGAGCGATGGCACAGCATATAGGCCATCGCACATTGCTTCTAAAAGAGGCGTTTAAAATACAGCGCCAGATAGAATCGCAAATTTCTAAGCGTCCGAGATGCAGGAGTTAGGAAAACTATAGAATTGCAGGGGGACAGCAAAGAAAGGCTCTTGGCATTTTGGACGGCGCTAGCTTGTTTGTTGGGGATGGCTCAGTTGCCGGCCTGCGGGACAAGGAGCCAGTTGAAGTCCAGAACAGCAATTTGTGCTCAAAGATTGCAGCACAGAAGGCAGTCCTGAAGTGGTTGCCTTGCAATGTGGGTTCATATAACAGCCTGTGTTCACCGACTTCGCTGACTTCTGGAGTGATTGCAGGGGAGGATGCCCTGCACCACAGATGCGCTGCAGACCTGCGCGAACTGAATTTTGCATGAAACATCAGGCACATTCAAGGTGCATCCTCTTTGATGCCTTTCGCCGCATTTTCCTTGAGCTTTTCCTCTAGGCTTTGAGGCGAGGATCGCTGGGACGAAGCCAGTTGGAAATCATTCAAATCATCTCCAGCAGGTTCAGGCATGACCGGTTCTGGATGGTTCTGGCCTCATCTCCAGCGCTGGCACCTGCACGCTGCAATTATCGTGTTGGGCAGGGGGGGACCACTCTTGCCGCCTTTTTCCATCTCCTATTGAGAGGCCCTAATCAGGCGTGGTCTTCTTGTCGTGTCCCCACGCCCGAAACCCGGCAAAAGCCGATCTCTTCATCATTCCCGACCAGGCTCCTCACTCTCAAGAGTTTAATCTTGTTGGACCACACAATTCGTGTTGCTGCACCTGCCAAGCAGGTCAGGACACTGTTTTTTAGCATCAGCATTGCATCCTGCGACGAGATCGCCTGACATTGTTTGGACAGTATGCAAAGTTCAAGATACGCTCCAGGTGGCAATCTGCGAGCTTGTTGCTCAAGCTGCATGGATTGCGCGGCACGGCTCCACATGCAGTGCGTGTGTATGGGCAGCATGACGAGCGAGGAATGTCCCGGTGGTTGTGTCGTGAAGCACTCGCGCCGCCCTTTTGGGACTTCCTTGTTCGCATTGTTCTATCCATGCGCAGCCCAGGCATGCGCAGCATTTGTCGAAAACGGCATTTGTGGCCCACAACCTGGAAATGACGCAGTTGGGTGAGGGGGGGGGGGGCAGGGCGGCCCATAAATTCCCAACATGACCCAAGAGTTTTGATTTGGTTTTTCTTTTCCGTATCTTTGCTAGATTGGGAATGTTTGGTTAAGAACCTGCCACCCACAGGCAGCTGCCGCAGCGTTGCAACGTGCAGACCTCGTAGATTGTTGGCTTGCGATTGTTGATCACGTTTTCATGAGAATTATGTGGCTGAGGCCACAACATGCAGGAAAGCACCACTTTGCGTTCCAGGCCATCCCAAAAGGTAGAAATGTTGTGGAGAGCGACAGCTGAGCTTTGAGGTATTTGATCTCTCTGCACGGAACCCACCATCTTCGGTCACTGCCAGGTTGGAACATGTAGCCATGGCTGCCAAGGTCCCTGCCTCTGAGTTCCCAAGTGTCAAGATGTTCGGGAGGGTTGTTGACAGGAGAGATGGCGACAGTTGCGACGTCTCAGCGTTCAATGTGTGTGCCCAGGCGGCTGAGGCTCGTCCCCCACGGCTGCGGGCCGGAAGCCGAATGTTTGGTTTGCGTGTGTGATCATTGCTGGTCCGCCGGAGAGTAATTATATTGAAGTTGGCAAGGGCGTATTCATTAATTCGTCAGTGATGAGACCGTCGCTTATGTTTGCGCGTCGAGGCTGGATTGAAGTTGATGGCGAGCTCGATGGCAAAGGAGGCGTGGATGAATTCGTTGCTGCTACTGATGGCTAAAACATGGTTAAAACACTTGCAGGAGCTTGGGAAGGATTCATGCCGAGCATATCCTTCCGATGTTCCTGTTGCTTTTGTAAGGCAGCCAATCGTTGTTGCATTGTTTTAACGCTGTACGCAAATTTCTCGGAGAATCGTTCAACTGTTTGCCTGTGCTTGGTTGGAAGTGTTTGTGCAGGAAGACATCGCCCGGCAGGGCCCTTGGCGGCCTTGGCGTTTCTGCTAACATATTTCCGAGTATGGATCTAGAGCTCTGAGCTCGAAGGCACCGACATGAAGCTGTAGGCTCATAAAAATCATCCAGTAGTGTCAGCAGGGCTGCCTGGAGCTTTAAGCAGTCCTTGATAGTCTGGATGATTTACTGTGGTTGTACGCTTGTGGTCTCTCCCCGAAAACCTAAACTCTAAACCTTAAGCCCTGAGACTCTAAACCGAAACCCTAAACTCCTAAACCCCTAGTCCCCTGATCCCCTGATCCCCCGATCCCCTGAACCCCTAAACAAAAACCCTAAACCCTAAAACCAACCCGACAAGATATTTGACTCCAGGCTTCATGCGCGAAACTGCGAGGAAGTGTCAGGTCCTCAGCCACGCGATGACCAGTTCGACGGGTAGTACCATGCAGCACTTTCATGCGCTTTCAACAAAACCACCGCAAGTAGACTAAGTAGACTCCAGTTGCCAGTTGCCCCCCCGGGAAGTGCTGATGTGGTGCATGGCAGAGCCTCATAGTTGCTGGGCCCTGCCTCATTCACATGCCGCCGGCTTAAGAGGGGGGCCACCGAAAACTTGGATTTCCCTCGGTTTCTCCTCCACTTTCGACGAACATGGAAGCTGCTCCGCTGAGACTCGTCTGGAGACGTTGTTGACTGGGGATGCTGGCTATAGTGGGCATTGAAGTTGTAAGAGCTACGCACGTCGTCAGGTCGTTGGTGATCTGATTTCGAGTGCCTGTGTTCAACGTAATTATTGCGCACGAGGTTGTAGCATAGTAGCGGATGGTAACGGATAGTAGCGAATGGTCGAGCAACCTCCGATTGACACGAGTGTGTCACGTTCCAAGGACAGAGCGGTTCCGGCTCACACTGGCAGTGGGACCCATCGAGGACCAGGTCGACCACCCAGTGGGGGATGTTAGGGAATATGAATACGATTAGCAACTGTCAGGTTAATTATTCTGGCGGTCGGCAGATCAGTTCTTGCGACTTGTGTAGCCCGAAAATATAGAGCCTGCTCGGAGAAGCTGCCAGAGACCAGGGAATTGGACCCAGAACAATACTCTATGGCGTTGATCCGGGTGTTTTTGATCGACCTAGGACCTAGCATTTAAGTCCGCAAGGCTTCAAGGCTTCGTGGAAGTTGCATTTTTCTCTTAATGGATTGGGGCGATGTTTGTACGACCTTGGCATTTTTGTTGCATTTTTTTTGGTTTTTTTGTGATTCTGACGGGGTGGATTCTTGACCATATACAGGAAGCTCAACGCATGTGCTTTGGTCACTAGCAGAGTCTAGGTTTATAGTTCAGATACAAGTACCAGTATCTTCCGAAAATCTGCATATTTTATCACTCAAACAGTTTTGGTCTGCTGAAGAGCAAATCTGTTGTGCTGCGCCAATCTTTCCTTCTGCCAGGAAAGCAACTCCGCACGAGCCTCCGCAGCATGACTGGGATGACTGGGCTCATGCGCGGTCGCAGAACATGGCAGTGCACCTTAAGGTTTAGGGTTTTAGGGTTTAGGGCTTAGGGTTTAGGGTTTAGGGAGTGATGCGTATGCCACCAATAAGGAAGTGATTTGGCCGATGCAGTTGCGGCATCTTGGCGCCGCCAACAGATTTGTCATGAGCATGCCCCCAGACCGGCATTCCGAGTCAAGCGTATATAGCTCCTCGCGACAGTTTCCTATATTTCCTCTTTTCCTATCACCCCTTCGGCATAGGCATCAAAAAAAAAATAATAAGCATCAAAAAGAAAAATAATGGGGATCAATAAAAAAAAATAATAAGCATCAAAAAAAAAAATAAGCCATCCGGCCCACCTGCGTGGTCCTCTGGTCCCGTGGTCCTCTGGTCCCGTGGTCCTCTGGTCCCGTGGTCCTCTGGTCCCGTGGTCCTCTGGTCCCGTGGTCCTCTGGTCCCGTGGTCCTCTGGTCCCGTGGTCCTCTGGTCCCGTGGTCCCCTGGTCTTGTGGTCCCCTGGTCCTCTGGTCCTCTGGTCTGCTTGTCTGTCCGCCTGGTCCTGCGGGTCCTATGCGTAGAAATAAATAAATATTGTATATTGTATATTATGTATTATGTATTATGTATTATGTATTAACTATGTATTATGAATTCTATATTATGTTTTATGTTTTATGTACTATGTATTATGAATTATATATTATATGTTTTATATTATGTATTCTGTATTATGTATTATGTATTATGTGTTATGTATTATGTATTATATGTTACATATTTATTATGTCGTATGTACTATGTATTATATATTATATATTATATTTTATATATTATTATATTATATATTATATATAATATATATATATATTTATATAGATTATATTATATATATATTATTATTATATATAATAATTTATTATAGTTATATATAAAACTACAATATATACATATAATATATTGATTTATTTAATATATATAATTAATTATATTATGATTATATATATATATATATATTATATTTATATTATATATATATTATATATATATTATTATATATATTATTAATTATATATATATATTATATAATTTAAGATTCAATATATATACATATATTAATATATATTATATATATATATACTTATATTATTTATACATTATATTATTATATATTATATATTTATTTATTATTTGTTTTTTAACTAACTATATTATATATACACTTAACTAAACATTATATTCTGGTATATATAAATATATACACATTATACTATTATATATATCATATATAAATAAATAAATATATATAGATATATAAATATCATTTATTTATTTATATTTTCATATTGTTGTACATTATATGATATTGTATGTATATGACTAAGTAGTATAAATATGAATAAATATATAAATGAATAAATAAATATATATATATATATGGCATATTGAATATTGTATCTTATATGGCATATATTGCATACTCATATAATTGTATATGAATATATACTGCGTATATGATAAAAAGTATAATAGTATAATATATAAATATATAATATACTATATACATATTATACAATATATAAAATATATAAAACATTTTTATTTGATTTTAATTTTTTTTTATATTCTTATATAGTATATTTTATTTATATGTAGTATGTATTATTATATTGTTCTTTGAAGCCATTGGAATGCAAAGAAAATGGAAGTTTTTGCTTAAAACATGTAGAAGTAGAGTTTTTCGATGGAAACATAGAGATAATAGAGGATTTCTCATGAAAACGTGAAGACAGTAGACGTTTTCTTGTGGGAGTATGAAGAAATAGAGGTTTTCCCATTGAAAGATCGAGAAAATAGAAGGTTTTCCAACCCACTACCACCACTTCTACGCATCGTGCGAACATTGTTTGCAAATGGGGGGGGCTGCGCCCCCCCCAACCCCCCCGCTGTTTTTTTTTAAGCTGTGCAAAGCGTGCTGCAAAGCCAAGTGGGGGGGTGTGGGGGGGGGCTGCGCCAACCCCAACCCCGCCGCGTTTTATCAAGCTGTGCCACTGCAAAGCGCTTTATGAATCTTGTTGAAGCCATTGGGATACTAAAAAGTTTAAGTTTTTCTTTAAAATACATGCAAATAGAGGTTTTCCGATGGAAACATAGAGATGATAGAGGTTTCCTATGAAAAACGTGAAGAAAATAGAGGTTTTCTTGTGGGAATATGAAGAAAATAGAGGTTTTCTTAAAAGATCGAGAAAATAGAAGGTTTTCCAACCACTACCACCACCCACTACTACCCATCGTGCGAGCATTGTGTTGCAAATGGGGGGGGGGGGCCCCCCCCCCCCCCCCCCCCCCCCCCCCCCCCCCCCCCCCCCCCCCACCCCCCCCCCCCCCCCCCCAACCCCCCCCCAACCCCCCCCCCCCCCCCCCCCCCCCCCCCCCCCCCAACCCCCCCCCCCCCCCCCCCCCCCCCCCCCCCACCCCCCCCCCCCCCCCCCCCCCCCCCCTGCTGTATTCCAAGAGGAAAATGGGTTATTTTTTTTTTGATGCTTATTTATTTTTTTTGATCCCTTGGGGTTATTTTTTTTTGATGCTTATTTATTTATTTTTTGATCCTTCACCCCTTCTGATGGGTGTGGTGCCTTTGGGGCATTGTGGGCTAGAGGATCCGACCTCACATCTTGGTATAGGTTTTGTTCTTTGTCGCTGTCCCCGGCCTAGGAGTTGCGAAGCGACCAAAGGAGCATCGCTGCGTCGCTGAGCAATGCACTGCATGGTCTTCAAGCCCCTTGCCTCTGAGATTCGAGGAGTTTCAGGTTTCGGCTCATCCTCAGGAGGTCTCCTTGGCGATCGCTTGTGACTTGCTCTCACCGAGGAAAGCCGTATCACTCAACTCAAGCGCTGTCGCTACGTCGCACAAACCCTTTGAGCAGACCCGGGAGTAGACTCATCCTTGGGTTCAATACTCAATCATGAGTTGCACCATGCGTACTTGCCTGAAGGGCCAAAACCTGGAGTACGAGTTTCGGTAGAGTGTTCTCAAGATCCAGCGTTTGGAGAGGCCAGTCACGAGTTGGCGCTCGAGGCCCTTTTGGTGGCGGTTCAACTGAGAGAGTTTTTTGCAAATGACTCCATTCCTGCCTAGAAGTGTGCTCGCAGGTCATGACCAAGCACTTCGACATGGTATCGCGTGAGGCCCTGAGTGAACCCTGACACTTTGCGAGTTCGGTCAGCATTACCGTCCGTTGAGTGGTGCAACACCCACACGTGACGTGCGCATGTACGTTCACATTGCTTCGCCATGCTTGGATGCTAAGGAACGCAGGAGGAGCTCTCTCAGCTCAAGAGCCAGCGTTTGCCAGGCAGCCAGGCAGGTCAACGTGAAATGTTAACGCTACGCGACCCCGCCTCGGCCACGGCATCGCCACGAAAGCTGCTGCTCTTTGTGGTATAGCCGCGTATAGCCGAAGGGAATGAATCAGGGTCTGGCAAGCTAGTTTGGCGGGTATGGGGGGGGGAAGGGGCATAGAAGAGGCGCTGAATTTGGTGTTTGTCCCCCTCGGCCCAGTGCCCCAAGCAAGAAGTCCACGCGGCAAATGTGCGGGGACTACCCCTAGACTCCTATGGCCCGAGGCCTCGGGATGTTTTAGAGACATAGAGCCATGTAGAGACGAGAGTTTGAAACGTGCAGGATGGCGAGCAATGTGCAGATGTTGGTCGTGTTTAATGCTGGGGCTCTTTCAGAAAAATCTTCAGACTTCAGCCCTCCGGCAAGGCGCCAGTACGGCAGCCATGCACAAGCGGAACCATGTGCCTCGTCATGCATTGTTTTGAAATCAGCGAAAGCCCGAAGCAGCTTCCTGTCTACTCCTCCCTCCGCGATTTGGCGATGTGAGGCACATCATGCC